CTCCAGGATCAAATTTACTTTTTCTTATAGACGGCATATTGCATTTTTGCGCAGATATAGTTTTTAATTCTGATTTCAAAAATTGTAATACATATGTCATATATTCCCGAAAAACAGAGGGTTCTAGGTAAGCCTTAAAATTATCAGATCATTTGTTTCGTATTCCAGACCAGACCTCAAATTGGACATATTAATAGAGTTTGGAAGACCGAGAAAAATGGAAGTAAAGCAGTAAGCAATGTGCATAGAAGGGTCCGACTTTGCCTGCAAAACAACAGATAACATTTTAAACATCTGCTAAGGTTTACTTCTGTTCATTAAAGATTATTGTTGTTGTTACCATCAATACAACTTTCATTTTGTTTTCAGTTCTTACCATACGTTTTTATTCCCTCATAATTTTCATTTCATGACCAACTAAGGAAATACATCACTGATTTTGTGAATGAAAAGTCCATTTAAATGTAAAAAATTCCAAAATAGCGTCCATATGAAAAAAAAATTGGTGATGGAAGGAGAAAGAAGGAACCTCGAATTGAAAATTTGACTACGCCATCTGGTAGAGGAGAATAAGGAACAATGACAACACGCAATTTATATTGATATACCATCTAAATGAAGTCAGGGAGAAAAGGAAATGTTATTTTGGGATAAATCTGGTATTCAAAACAAATGACTATTTGATACTTGTAATGACAAACACTACCTAAAAAACCCTGCTTTTTTGTAATAACTAAGGTATGTATGTATATATGTATGATGATGTATCAGAATTAAAACTCTATTCATCTGTGCAAAAATCCAATATGTCGCCCATTATAAAAAATATAGTTGATGCTTGAGAGGAAACGTCATATTGAAATTTGAATTACAAAAAGTTGCAATGTTAAGGTGCAATTGATTTTGCAATCCCACTAAACATAAAGTCAAGAAAAAATTGAAACTGTTTTGGGAAAATTCGACTTTTTCCGTGTCTCTCCGAAAGTCCTTTGAATTTGTAAGTCCCATGTTCTTAATTAGCTAATTACGCAACTTTGCCATCATTTAATTTGAAACACCCGGTTTAGTTTGGCACCAATATTTTCAAATACATGCAACGCAAGTGTAATATAGGACTTATTGATGGTTTGGATAAGTGGTAGGTAAGCACTTTTGTTACATATTCCAATGCAACGCTTGCTTTGTTTCTAGGAACACTGAGCCTTTGGATTACGACCGTTCCCATAACCACATCCTATCCGTCATAGCGTACGACTGTGGGATGCGTCAGTCGTACCCCGCATTGGTGACCATCAAAGTGAACCGCGTATGTCGTTTGGGATGGCGGGGTCTCCCAGAAAGGGTCGATTATGCCCCCGCCGCTGGAAGACAGGAGCTGTTCCCAGGAGCGGCGCTCGAATTGTGCGATGTGCCGTGCAATGTCAGGGAGATAAGGGCTAGGGTGGATCTGGCTACAAGGTGAATATATTCTTCTCACTACTATACCCCATTCGTAGGCCATTTACGCCCAGACAGAACACAACATGCCCAAAAGCGAGATTGTACAAGTCCGTATTTTCCTCAATATTCTTGGAATAATCTAACATAATAAATGATTATTTTTAAAGAAAGTAGTGCACATACTTTTCACAATTCTTTATTCGCTGTAATTACTTGAATCATCGTCCGAAAGGTTAATATTAATTATTACGGTTCAATTTGATTATCGATCATATTGTCTAGATATTTGTTTCGATTGTCTCTTTTACGTGACGGATGCAATGTTTCTAATTGTTTACCTTCACTCTGTTGGCAACTTCATAAAACAAATGTTTCACGTCAGAAAATTTGAATGTTCTATTGTTTGAAGCTACATAGTTTTTTATATTTGATCAAATCATTTCAATGGGATTTAATTCGCAGTGATAACGGTCTTATTTTGGTTTTTAGCCATTTCGTCAATAACATTGAGATTACATTTATATTTGTGCTGCCTGACTAGATGGATAAGTTCTGCTTTGATCACATTTTTACAAAAAATAATGTCTTTTGATAGGCGCCATTGTTGAATTTCTGCCTTTCTTGTGAACATTGTGGGAATTTTTTCTAGTTTTTTAGTGTGGTATATGCAGCATTATCAAGTACAATGACGGCATTGTCATGTTTGGGAGCGTGTCTTCAAAGTATTGTTCAAATGAAGTCCCGTCCATTCCTTCATGGTAGTCGATCGTTTTCTTTGACTCAAATGCCCATAGGACAGTGGACATAAAGCCATCTTCACTGCCACTGTGACAGATCACAAATCGTTTTCCTTTTCCTCATAATAGTAATCATTTATTATATACGGGTTAATGAATTTCTTCAAAGCAATAAAAACATTGTTCTCTCCATCCAAAAAAAACACAGATAATAGGCGTAAGACGTGTCAGTCCCTACATCTCCGTGATGCATAATGCAATTACTATGGACATAGACACAACATTATGAAAAATGTCACAAATAATGTCTTTTAAGTCCAAAAATCATAAAGACTATTAATGTTTATTGTTTGATTGCCTTCTTCACTGGTGAGGTTATCTATCTGTCACTCGCAGGGTTGCCACGTCTAACGACGATCACGTCCCGTGGTGAAGGCTGCGACATGAATCTTTTACATTTGCTGCTTTTGAATTTAAAGTAGGAATACAAACATAGTACTTATGATAGTTGGAGCTAGACTTATAACACTTCTTGAATAATATTTGAAAAATGTGAACACCGTCATGGTGAAAATTCTTACATACAGTGGACCTTGGTCATAGTTTACTATCCTGATTATGATCATTTTTAGCAGATGTGTTGTATCATCAAATTGATGAACAAATATAAGAAAGCTCTTATATACCTACATACAGAGGATTTTTCATGTGAATTTACTAAGTATCATGATTATAGGCATCTTTGGTGGATTGTTCGATCCGGAATGGGAAAGATCTCCTATTTATGAACATATTTTTGCTATCATCTAACCGTTGCAAGCAGTGCACAAAAACTGTGACATATGATTTATACCATAACCCGCTGCCCTATCAATTTAACATACAGGTCGCCTAGCCGTGGGGATGCAGTGGTCGTGATGAATATCACAGCAGCAACTGATGATTTGGGCATGCCTGGTAACAACGTATGAAGTGAAACTCGCTAACTTCACAAATTTGAAGATTTTGTACAATTTCTTTGAAAATGGTGAAAGATATATGTCTGATTTGGCAGGGTAATGTCGCAGCCAAATGGCAGTCACTCTTTCTGACACAGTCCGGATCGAAAGATGACGATACTCGTGAAATGTATTGATACTTCTAAATATAGGATCCTATCGAAGATCCTTACTGTCAAGATGTATAACCCGAGGTACCGACGGAGCTATTTTGCTTCGTCATGGAAATAATTTTAAATTTTCATTTGCATTTCCAAGTGTTGTGCAACGATTTTGGGAAAAATTCCACGAATACTCTCATAAAGCATAGTAGAGTATATTTCAGAAGTTGGCGGAGCTTACTCAACTGGGACCAGGAGGGTGAAACGGGGTATTAATGCACAATCTGGCAACCATGTCGCACCCTCACAAAATGGCCGCTGACAACCACACAAGTCACCGTGTTGTGATTGAATAGCATGGAATTAAACCTTCTTCAGAGTATATATTTTGTGACTGGGACCAAGGGTTGACAGATCCCACACATGTGTCACTCGGGGAGTCTTGAAATGCAATAATCAGCTGTATTCAAATAATGTCTAATATAAATATAACCTAGAATGTGCACTCGTGGAAAAAGAAAAATATGGCAAATTTCTAGTTTTTTGCAGGTTTTACGTTTGCTGGTAGCTTTAAGGCATATATTTGGGAATTTCTTAATCGCTGTGAATATACCTGTAGTCTGGATGTTTGTTCGGTTCCTGAACAACGAAAAATATTCAACTTTATGGATGTATGGATATCAAAAGACCTGAATGGTTTTGTGGGAATATCAATCTAAGGTGCCATAATGGTTCTGATGAACGGCAAGTAAATGAATAAATATTTGGAAACGAGCAATTCTATGAACTTTTTGTCATCAAGTAGGTGCTTAATGGTTATCTGCAAGAGGTTTATAGGAAAAAAAAAACACAGGAGGTGATGTTAAATCAGTAAAATTGCATATTAATTGAAGAAAATAATATAAACATGAATAAAAAATCAACAACAGTAATTAAAACATGAATTTAATTTAATAATCAAACATTTCTTTAAATTATGACTGAATTATATGTAATTTCTTAATATTCAATAAGCTGGTGATGTTTCAATGACAAGATGTCATCTCATACTTTGACAGTATTTTGTTTTCAACATTTCGTAGCTATTGTTTGCTAAAATTTGTTGATTGGAACTTTAAGCTCATTCGTTGTATTTAACGGACTGTTACCCTATAGGTCGAGAATAACGGACTTTTGATTTGACAACCTTGGTGAAACCCACCCTCAGTCCATACTTTTGATTCTTTTGTCTAGCAATACCTACCAAAGTGACAATATTGTATCAACATAATAATACTTACCTGCGGAAAGATCTATCTTCATTATGCTTGTGCCGTTGTTATTTGCAAACACTCGCGCTTCCAAAAAATCACACTAAAAACTTAATTTAATAACATGACTGTCAAAAAAAATAACTTATATCAAGTCCACTGCAGTATGCACCTTTATCCTTACGACAGATTGAGATTTTGAAGACAAACAAATCATAGATTGCTCCTTCCACCTAGTCTGAATTCGTGGTTGCGGCAAAGTGTGTGTGTGTGTTGTGTTTCGTTGAATTATATTAGAAATATACTATTTGAAAAACGTTTCGATATACTTCGCATTAAAATCGGTAGTTCCTTAGAACATGACTAAAATTGTTAGATCAACCTAAAATTCGGTAGACCTGGTAACACTGTGCCATTCTGCCGACATAGCGTTTATTTATCTCTAGTCGACCAATTCAGAGTCTTCTAGACAGAATGCGAGACTTTATCGATGGTTCTCGATGGCGGTAGAAGCTTCCCAATGGGTGTCGAATACTATCGCGCTCCTTACACGGTTGCTTAATTCTGGTTGCCTCTGCGTCGATGTTACGAGCACGTCTCATCGATACCCCAAACTTCTAGTTTACAACGGCGTTACAATTGTACAGGTATAATTCGTAGTAAGTTAGGAGATAATGAAACATATTTTTTACTTATGCAATGCTGACCGTAGTCCCCTCGGCCGATTTTCATGTGTGCGACATACATGTTAGAAAGGGTGCGCCAAACGGCGTTCCACGACGTTCACGCTGTCTCCCCATCTTTTTTATGTGTCTCATACATTAAAATCGACAAAGGAAAAAGTATTTGGCCAGCATTGTATATTTATTTATGAAAATGTGTACAAAATAAATTACTTATCAATTATATCTGCATGTAATCTCGTGCAATTTAATCTTTTCGGTACATCCGACAAAAGCACAACCTTTCGGCTCATTCTGACAGTTAATTTGTAGAGTTTCTAACAAATCCTCAAGAATGAAATTTCTAGAATAACTTATGGTAGCTTTACAAAAAGGACACAAAGCCATTTGGTCTTTACAACTCTTGCATATCGTATGTCCCGCGTTGCAATTGAAAATAGGCGGACACATGTACTCTTTGCAAATTGGACATTCTAGAATTTTGCTGAAAATATTCGGGTTTATTGCCAATGTCTCGTTGTATTTTTTGGTACTCGAGCAATCAGGGCAATCTAGGATGTTGATGGTGTAACTCAGCCTCAAATTTTCACTGCGTTTCAACTTCTCAAACTTAGTTGTCATGAAATTGAGCGAATTTGGACATTTGTGCGGCCCACTTTTAAGGAAATCTATACAATGCATTTTCCCATCAAATGATTTAACTTCTTGGTTCTTCATAACAGATGTACTGCACTCACTTTCTGATGAGAGACTCATCGTGGCGATATACTTCATGTCACTCTTTTCTCTACAAAGCGAGAAAACGCCGAAGTAATAGTTGTAAAACGCGATGTTGCCAGTTTCAGTTTCAAAATCCGCGTCGCTGTGTACGAACAACAACAGTGGAGCTTGCTTGTACAGAACCAAGCAAACGTTGTTTTCTGGCGTAAAGTTCCATACCTTCTCTTCTTTCAGGATTTTCCTTGCTTCTACGTTGTTTGTCAAAACGTAGTCTTTGTGGAATTTTGTGAAGTGTTGCACAATATCTGAAAAGAAAAGAAATCGATTTTTGAGTTTTAATGATTATTAGTCTCAGCTTTAGTTTTTATTTGCATCTAGAACTTTTTATGCCTACTTAATTTTCTAAAACCATGGTAACTTTTATATCAATGCATGCAGAATATGAAAGCAATCTACTTAACTTCATTTTTAGAAGAAAAAATATTAGGAAGAAACGTAATACAAATACAAACCACTTATTAGAAGAAAAAACCTTTTCAACCAAGAACTACTTCATCCCCTGTTACCCAGGGTCATTCCCTTAAAAATTTTGAATGACAAGGCGTATCGAGTAATAGCTTGTGTGAACGGTCTTTCAAAGTCCTTTATTTTGACGTTTGATTTTTTTAAATCAGTCGATTCGTTTTCCAGAAAATTAGAAAAATCATTGTTTATCTTGATTTGTTCAGAAGGAAATAAAAAAAAAACACGAAGATATCACTTTTTATTTCAATAAGTGTTCAAAATGTTATCTGTTTGGATTTGGCAAATCTAGAATTCGTTTCTCGTCATAAACAGCAATTCGGAAGATTAGACGTGGCAATAACCAAATAACAACCCGATTTTCCGCATTCTTTTCGTCAACACAGATACCCTGGGCGAACTGTATTTATTGTTACACCTGCTTAGTTATTAATTTGTTGCTAAGGGAAAGAAGGAATTTAATTTGCTGTCATATACCTTTGTGATAATCCTGGCATAGTGATAATTAATTTATTGATTCAGATTTTACGTGCTCGGCGTATATAACATCTCATATAATTATTCTATATAAAACTCCACCTTATTTATATAATAAGATTACATTTCGAAGTGATGTTCACAATATCAATGTTCGGTATCGGAAGTTGATTTCCACGTCATCGTACATCTATGTTTACTAGATGTTTTTTCTCATTTTATCTACCACTTGTACGTCACGTCCCCACAAACCTTAAGTCCGCGTCAGCTTTTAAAAGAAGTTACTTGATAGTTTACTTTATATTGCTCCTTTCCTTTTTATATTTTAAAGTTTTTTTTTGTTAAATCTGCCTAAAATGATTTGACCTTTTTCGTTAAATTATATTTTAAATTATATTTTTTATACAGGGTGACTTGTAATGTCACGTATTCCTGTTAAGGGGTGATAGATTAGGACAAAAGCAACCGATTTTGTTCTATAATGTCCTATCCAGAAGTTAACAGTTTTTGAGTTATTTGAATTTTATTTTTTTTATTTTTTATTCCGATTTCAGACGGTTAAATTTGAAATACAAAAAAACTACATGTTTGATTTTGTGTTTTTTGTTATCGTCGCATAGCGGACATTCCAATAGTTCATAATAAGTAATAAAATGTTGAAAACTTACAAAAGTTTTAAAATTACGCTTTTTAAATGTATGATTTTCTTATTTTTTTACTAACTTATTCGATAAAAAATGCAATTTTCTGTAAAAAATCTCCTAGTAATGAAATGTGCAAATTATGTAAATAATATCTCTATCTAACAAGCTTTCATTTGAGGTATAAAAGTTACGACTAACAAGTACGAAGACATAAAATTAAAAAAAGATGAGTAAAGTTGTACGAACGATAATTACCTAGGATAAATAAAAGGCTTTTATTTTAATTACAGTTTTATTTAATTACATTTCCTTTAGTATTTTACAGATTCTGCTCAAATTGTAATCCCCTGTTACGAATACACGCCCGCATTCTCTTACGTAATTCACTTTTCGTAACTCTAGTTGTCAAGCGGCTTTTTATTTGGTCAGCTGCACTGATTATCCTTGTAATTAATTCATCGCATGTTGGTACGGGCAAAACATCAGGCTTTTCATGTGTCCCCACACATAGTAATCGATCGGTGTGAGATCTGGGCCTGCCTCTGCCAATCCATTGATTTGGAAATTTAGAGTCTAAATACGCCCGTACTAATCTACTATAGTGTGCGGGACAGCCGTCGTGCTGGAACCGCATATTTTTCTCGTCGCCAATGGGACGTCTTCCATTAATGGAAACAAGTGATTTTTCAAGAACTCTTCATACACTTCTCCATTTAAATTGGCGGGCAGAAAATGAGGTCCAATTAAATATCCATCAATGATGCCAACCACACATTGACTGAAAACCGGCTCTGAGACCCCGTCGTCTTATTTTTCGGGGGTTTAAAGCTTCTTTAGCTCATTAATGAGCATTATGGTAGTTAGTGATCCCGTCCTTATCAAACTTCGATTCGTTGGTCTACATAATTTTCTTAAAATAGTCTGGATCTTCTGTAGTAACATGTACCTGCAGAAATCTAATCGTCTTGCAGGATCGCCCTCTTCAATCACATGCACAGGCGTGTAGTGATAAGGGTATAATCTTGCAGTATGCACAGTAAACCATACTTTGTATTGTGATATACCCAACTGAGCAGCCACAATGCGCGTAGACGTAGTAGGGTCTTCCTGAAACACACGAAGGATTTCCTCTTCATCTACAGGAGGATAGACTCGGGGTCGACCAGCATCACTGAACACGTCCGGTTTGGCGGATGCGCCGATACAGAGAGTCAAACATAGTAACACAGTGAGGTGTTCGGCGATTCGGGAAACGTTGCCGATATTCACGGCGGGCAGCTGCAGAATCGCCGTTACAAAGTCCATAACAGAACATTATGTCTGCGTATTCTTCATTTGTAAAAGTTTACCCGTGCTCGCTATGGCGAGGTCCTGGCGGATCTTCTGCTTCTGCCATGATGATAAAGAAACCACTCGAAATGAACTGGGAAACTCGAAAATAATAATCGTGCGTAAAACGTGTGCGCGTACGCAGTAGTTGATACCAACTAAACCTAATTCTCACTCGGCGTGCGGCGATGGCGTAACTACAATGATGAATAATAACAGCTCTCTCACTCCTCCACTAAGTCAGCTCCTCTCGCTCGCTTCCTCGTCGAGCCGATGCCATAAATAAATCATGGCATGCGAGTCCTTTGAGGACAGTAATGACTTGTTCAAACAGGTAATACAAATTCCTTAAAAATTCAGCCTCTGTGGGTGTCATTGTTGTTTCTCTACATGTACTTCAGATAATTGAACGCTTAATACCTCAAATGAAAGCTTGTTAGATAGAGATATTATTTACATAATTTGCACATTTCATTACTATGAGATTTTATACAGAAAATTGCATTTTTATCGAATAAGTTAGTAAAAAAAAAGAAAATGATACATTTAAAAAGCGTAATTTTAAAACGTTTGTAGCTTTTCAACATTTTATTACTTATTATGAACTATTGGAATGTCTGCTACGCGACGATAACAAAAAACTCAACATCAAGCATGCAGTTTTTTTGTATTTCAATTTTAACCGTCTGAAATCGGAATAAAAAATAAAAAATTTAAAATTCAAATAACTCAAAAATAGTTAACTTTTGGATAAGACATGATAGGACAAAATCGGTTGCTTTTGACCTAATCTATCACCCCTTAACAGGAATACGTGACATTACAAGTCACCCTGTATAATTTCTTTATATACATCATATTTTTTTTTTGATGTTTATAATTATTATTTATTTATTATTAATATTAATTTGGTTAAGAACTCCTTTGTTGTAATTTTGTTTGTTGGGCTAGTGTACTTTGATCAGCTCGTCTGTTTACTAGTCCCTTTTGCAGGGAATTCATATTGTTTCTTTATTTTTAATTTGTTTTTCTCTTTATATTTTTTTGCGCTGCAAATAAACGCTATTATTATTATTATATGTTGTTTTGGACCTTGTTACTAAATTTACTCAAACTGAATCTGTTGCAAATAAAAAACCTGATCATCGGAGATTTACGGATGAAGCCGCTCAAGTTGAAGTTTTGGGTCATTTTGGAATCAATCCAAATACTTCATTACGCAAAATTGTTGGACCGATTGTAAAAAATCAAACGTCAAAATAAAGGACTTCAAAAGACCTTCCAAACAAGATATTACTCGATACCCCTTGTCATTTAAAAATTTCAAGATGATCCTGGGGGGTAGAGGATGACAGGGGGTGCAGGAGTTTTTGGTTAAAAAGTAGTCCCCCTTGACGAATCTTTGACGTGTCTCGGCGTTTTTTCTTTTAATCAGTGGTTTTCGATAAATCCGTCGTGGGAAGTTTTCAAATGAACACCCTGTATATTTTAAATAAATCTTTGAGAATCCAACCTACCACTGATCTCGTACATGACATAGCAGTACTCGAAAGGGCAAACGACTCTATTGATTTGGCACTCCTTGTGGTACTCTCTGTATCTGGACACAGCTTGTGTTTTGCATTTCTTCCTCGATGGGCAGAGAATTACGTTTTTCTTGCACTCAGTTTCGTGCTTTTCAACAGAGCCCCACGTTAAGAGTTCGTCGCAATATGTGCAAGGAAATATCTTTAAAAAATTGTATTGCAACAAAATGTTGATCAAAAGTCAATGTACAGGGTGCGGCAGAGAGGATGGACGGTTTTAAAAAAAATCATAAAATAGTTAATTTTTACTCGAAAGCAAATTTATTGATGGAATCAGGTTCACAAGAAAATAGCATTTGAGACAGTCAAGTGTGGAATATCACATCAGGCATGTGGTGGCCGAAATCGTTGATGCAGTGCTGGAGGCGTTCCTGGAAGTTCGCGTAGACACTCTCCAACATCGCTCTCTCAACTTGGGCGTCTTCCACGCGAATTTCGCCCTTCTGCTCGTCCAGAGTTCGGGGCTTGTTCGCGTATACTCTAGCCTTGAGGTGTCCCCATAAGGAAAAATCGCATATGGGTAAATCTGGGGACCGAGGAGGCCAATGAACATCGCCAAACCTGGAAATAAGGCGACCAGGGAAGAGAGGGCGAATAACGTCCATGGATGTTCGGGCTGTGTGGGCGGTCGCCCCATCCTGCTGGAACCACACACGTCGGATTGGAACACGTCGCCGTCATAATTCAGGGAGAAAGAAGTTGGTGATCATGTCGACCTAGCGCTCTGAGTTCACGGTAACATCACGACCATTACCGTCTTCGAAGAAGTAAGGGCCAATGATGCAAGTTTGCGATACAGCGCACCAAACCGTTACTTTTGGGCTGTGCAGAGGTCTTTCGTGTAACTGTTGCGGATTTTCATTAGCCCAATAACGACAATTCTGCTGGTTAACCATGCTGTTTAGGTGAAAGTGGGCTTCGTCACTCATAAACAAAATGAGGTTCTCATTTTGATCGATCAGTGCTTCCATCTCACGTGCGAAGTTCATTCGTTGTGCATAATCTCCGGGCTGTAACTGTTGCACAATGGCCAATTTGTAGGGGTGAAAGCGGAGATCCATATGCAAAATTCGCCTTACCGAACGATCACTAAGGCGAAGTGCAGCAGCATGTTTCCGGGCAGATCGAATCGGACTGCGAAGAAAGACCTGTCGAACGCGTTCAACATTTTCAGGTGTTCGAACTGTTCGCGGCGCTCCTCTTGGTCTTCTGTTGATCAGTTCACCACGCCTGCGAAGTGATTCAACCCAACGAAGGATGGTGTTTCGAGAGGGAACAGCTCAGAATGTTGAAGTGGCGACGAAACTCACGCTGTGCGACGATGACTGACTCATTATTTCGGACGAAACAATCATAGGCGAAAACGCGGTGCTCCACCGTCTAAGGCTCCATAACGACAACTGGTAAAATAATGCTAGGATCTCACGAGTCAAACGGCACCCTCCCCACCTCTCTCGTAGACGGAGGCGGAGAGTACTACCCATCCCAAAAACGTCCGTCCTCTCTGCCGCACCCTGTATAATGATAAAAACCCTGCTGAAGGTTATGCAACTATTATATCTACAATAACGGTAAACCGTGTATCATTCAAAGAAACAAAATATACAATTTTCAGTGAAAGTGTAGACTTCTATGATTCAAGTAATTTGATATAAACTACTAGTCACTTTCATGGAAACGACTTTTGTGTCGTTAACAAACTTTTTTGTCACATAAAAGTTCTCAGATGAATCGATGAAATTTACCATGAATTGAGCAAGTTCTTCATATACGGTATTTCTGGGCCAACCAGGGTCGCATCTTCCACAACTATTTTTACCGTCAAACATTGAGATTGGTGGGACGGACATATATCCTCGACAGAGATCGCATTTTAGAACACTGGATATGTCTTTTGGCAGAATCAGTCTTTTTGTCGAACCCATTCGTCATCTCTGAAATATTAATTATGCTCGAATAATACAGAACTTCTAATAATAATCAAATGTAATCTGAATGATAACAAATCCTGTTGATTGTTGGTTACTGATTCAGGTCACAGGATGATATTTTTCGGACAGACATACGAATGAAATTCTTCATTGAATTATTCCTTAATAGAATTCTACTGCTCATTATTCTATAGAAGTGCAAGTATACCTGCAAAATTTTAAACAACTTGTTCACGATATATAAACATCAACCAGTATATTCTGGGAAATGACTCTACTCTCGCATATCTGATTCATAAAACATACATCATTTGCTCATGAGAAGGCATATAAAACATGCGGTATTTTTGTTAGCGTTTTATTATCAATAAATCTTATACCTATTCGCAATTCATAACATGAACGTGTAATACTATTTCATAATATGCCGCAAGGTAATTTTAGAACGCAACATGATATGGAATAATGTAGTTCTAACAAAACCTGTCTGATAACTTCATTTAGCATTGTTAAATAAATATGGTCTTTAACTCCCTGTTCCATCGTTTTATTCATAAAATGCATTTCGAAATGGGTATAACTATTACTATGAAGAAGTATTTTCGGGGATCAATTAAAACTTTTTCTCTTATAGTGACTATCCAGTAACATTCACTAATTTACAGGTTATAAAGCCGTTGCATTTTTGTTTTTGCTGTTATCAAATATTTTAGAGGCTGCAATTTGGCCATCAAATTGTTTTCAAAAAATTCCTTATATTAAAAAATAACGAGATATGCGATAATCAGAGCACATCAGAAGCAGATAATATATGCCTGCGCAGTTAAGCTTAAATAGTGTTTGTATATCATTCAAAAAATACTCCAGTCCTAGCGTCTGATTGGTGAAAACAATAAAGCTGTGGATCTGAAGTTCTACCATGAATACTTTGTAAATAAGCACAAGAAGAAAAGTATGCCTCTATTTGGAACGCCGGAATACTATACCGGTATTTTTCTAGCCATAATAACAAAAAAATACAATGAACTTGATCAAGTGCTCCGACACCGAGACAATTACCGCTAAACAAACCAACAAGTCGTCGGCAACGATCCGTCAAAACCACTGATTAGCTCACACTCATTATCATTTTATTATTACAGTGAAGCTGAAACCGGTCGGTACCAAACCTCAATATTGATGCGCATGCTGTCACTTAAACATTATAGAAATTCTACTCACATTTGATGCAACAATTTCGTAGATGGCTTACAGTTTCTGAGATAACAATATGACGGTATAGCAGCTTTAAGCAGCCTTGCACTTGAACGTTTGAATGTGTTTGTTGAAATGTGCGCGAGTTTTATTGCTGGAAGGCGATTGCTCTCGCGTGTTCCAAGGTTGTTGTCGCACAACTTGCGGCGCAAACAGACGGCCTCCGCTTGTGTACTCTTTCACCGCGGGCTTTGTCGCGTACTACCAACTATGACTGGTTCTTGCGGAATGCTTTGTCTTCGATAATTTAGTCGACTAGTCCAAGTTTGGAATTTAATAGACCAATCTCTCTAAATCTTGGTTTATCAAATTGGTAACCTAACTAATGCCCAATTCCACCAAAATTAATATTATGGACCAATGGGAAAATACCTTATCAAAATGCAATTTGACAGAGGCTGTCAAAGGTCTCAGAATATCAGTGATTTCTATTAAAATATTGAATAAAATCGTGGAAATTCGACTGTATTATAAACAAGACCACTTTTTGATTCCAACATGATGCTTTTGTACAGAGAAAACAGGCCAACTTTCATGCATTTTGATTTGTGTTATAAATTTACATTTAACAAGCAGTTATCCCCAAAGCCAATGGGAATGCGGCAAATAATAGGTCGATTTTCTAGCTGTTAAGTTTGGCAGCAGATTTGGACGTTGGTTAATGCATGGCAATCTCGAATTTAAGTTCAATATACTGTTATCATTACATACCTGTTACATAGTGTGGATTTGTCTGTATTTTGTAAGAAAATAGAATATAAAATACATTCCATCCAATTCCTCATCTTCCTTTACATCATAAAAGTAATCATAAAATAAAAACATTGTCCTCTCCAACCTAAAACACAGATAATATGTGTATAAGACGTGTCAATCCCTACATCTCCGTGATACATAATGCAATTACTATGGACATAGACAAAAAAAATATGAAAAATGTCACAAATAATGTCTTTTAAGTCCAAAAATCATAAAAACTATTAATGTTTATTGTTTGATTGACTTTTTCACTGGTAGGGTAATCTATCTGTCACTCGCAGGGTTGTCAAGTCTAACGACGATCACGTCCCGTGGTGAAGGCTGCGACATGAATCTTTTACATTTGCTGCTTTTGAATTTAAAGTAGGAATACAAACATAGTACTTATGATAGTTGGAGCTAGACTTATAACACTTCTTGAAGAATATTTGAAAAATGTGAATACCATCATGGTCTGTTGTCAAATCGCAAATGAAGTATCTGAAAATTCTTACATACAGTGGACCTTCGTCATAGTTTACTATCCTGATTATGATCATCTTTGGCAGATGTGTTGTATCATCAAATTGATGAACAAATATAAGAAAGCTCTTATATACCTACATACAGCGGATTTTTCATGTAAATTTACTAGGTATCATGATTATAAGCATCTTTGGTAGATTGTTCGATCCGGAATGGGAAAGATCTCCTATTTATGAAAATATTTTTGGTATCATCTAACCGTTGCAATCAGTGCACAAAAGCTGTGACATATGATTTATAGCATAACCCGCTGTCCCATCAATACAAATTTAACATACAGATCGCCTAGCCGTGGGGATGCAGTGGTCGGGATGAATATCACAGCAGCAACGGATGATTTGGGCATGTCTGGTAACAACGTATGAAGTGAAACTCGCTAACTTCACAAATTTGAAGATTTTGTACAACTTCTTTGAAAATGATGAAAGATATGACTGATTTGGCTGGGTAATGTCGCAGCCAAATGGCAATCACTCTTTCTGACACAGTCCGGATCGAAAGATGACGATACTGATGAAATGTATTGCTACTTCTAAATATAGGATCGTATAGAACATCCCTACTGTCAAGATGTATAACCCGAGGTCCGGCGGAGCTATTTTGCGGTGTCATGGAAATAATTTTAAATTTTCATTTGCATTTTTTCAAGTGTTGTGCAACGATTTTTGGAAAAACTTCACGAATAGTCTAATGAAGTATAGTAGAGTATATTGCAACAGTTGGCGGAGCTTACTCCACTGGGACCAGGGGGGTGAAACGGGATATTAATGCACAATCTGGCAACTATGTCGCACCCTCACAGAATGGCCGCTGACAACCACACAAGTCACCGTGCTATCATTGAATAGCATGGAATTAAACCTTCTTCAGAGTATATGTTTTGTGACTGGGAGCAAGGGTTGACAGATCCCACACATTTGTCACTCGGGGAGTCTTGAAATGCAATAATCAGCTGTATTCACATAATGTCTAATATAAATATAACCTAGAATGTGTACTCGTGAAAAAAGAAAAATATGGCAAATTTGTAGTTTTTTTGCAGGTTTTAGGTTTGCTGGTAGCTTTAAGGGATATATTTGGGAATTTCTTAATCGCTGTGAATATAGTGTGTATGTTTTTTCAGTTCCTGAACAACGAAAAATATTCAACTTTATGGATGTATGGATATCAAAAAACCTGAATTTAATTCAAAAATCAAACATTTCTTTAAATTTTTACTGAATTATATGTAATTTCTTGAAATTCAATAAGCTGGTGATGTTTCAATGACAAGCTGTCATCTCATACTTTGACAGTATTTTGTTTTCAACATTTCATAGCTATTGGTTGCTAAAATTTGTTAATTGGAACTTGAAGCTCATTCGTTGTATTTGACGGACTGTTACCCTATAGGTGGAGAATAACGGACTGTTGATTTGACAACCTTGGTGAAATCGACCCTAAGACAATCGAACAAAAAATATCTTTTTTTGCTTCTATATTTTATCATAAAAGGTTTCATCTACTCGACTTGGCAAAAAACCTATGTTTTTGCCAATAACTTGTTATGACGATTATCAACTTTTTAACACGCTTTTATTTTAGCTTCACCTGTATGTAGTCAAGTTCATTATCGAAACTGTTGACAGCAATGCTTTGCTGTCACGTGCTCATTTGAACATTCATAAAATTTATCTTAAAGAATCATATACATAAGCTGGGACTGACCGTTTGAGTAATATTTTATTATATTTATTAAAATGCATATTATGTATTTTCAAACCTCCATTTAAAGTTGAAAATACAAATTAAATACCGCGCTTATAAATACAAATTTGCTAAGAATTTAGGTTTTAGAGCCACTCCTAGACCAATTATAAATCATGTGGTATTAAGCCTAATGTGATCAAAAGCATAGGTACAGTTTAAAATGCAGATGTGATCCAATTTACTCCAAGATCAGATTCATAACATTTATACATATAAGGTGAAGTAAGTTAGGTTTAGGTGGTACATAAAAGTTTTGGTAAACAACTTTTGTTGATATAAGCTGATGCCAAATGTGTGCGAGGATTATAGAAATACCGAACATAGCAATCGATTACTAGTTTCAAAATTAATTAACACATTCTCAGTATTCCGCAAATACTTCAAAGACTTCCGAAAAAATAATTTTAATTTATGCGTGTAATTACAAAAAAGTCTGTTATCAGATACCAGTTTGAGTCTTGATAATGAAATAATAATAATGTGTGCGTCTAACGACAGTATAGCGTTAAAGCAGCTTTAGAATTTTGACATTTTTCAAGCGGTATCTATCAAAAGTCAGGCTTCAGCGCTGTACTGTCGTTAGACATAATAACAGCAACAGTGTGATTTATAACAAACGTCACTGATATTATCGTTTTACGGTTTGCTAGCGCTGGATGCGAAGGGCAAACAATAGTACAAATCTTAAAATGTAAGTGGCACGTCAAGACGCGGCAACATCGTCACACATTTTGCCGACGTACAAAGGTAGCACACGTTCACCGTATTCTACCCGTTTCTTCCGTCAGCTGCGGTGCTCGGATAACGGAAAGGAGGTGGGTTGCGAATTGTTGAAAATTTACGGATTACGAAATATGGATCACCACGCAATGGATAGTCTACCACATAAACGGCATAATTTATGTTCTGGACAAAGAAATATAGTGAAACATGTTTATGACCCACGACGAACACGATTTCCAGAGAAACCAGTAAGGGATATCGTTCAACTTTGTAGCCATATGACAAAAGTATCAGTATCTACCATTTTCAGAATTATAAGGGAAAAAACGTAAGGTATGTTTGGTGGTAGCAAAAAAAGCAAAAACAGGGACGTAAACGAGTGGTTTCAAATGATGATGTTAAATACGCAATCCGTCGGAAGGCGCACTCGTTTTATTTGAGAAGAGAAATGCCGACAATAAAAAAACTACAGCACGACTTGAATACTGACGATAGTCTACCAAAGATATCCCAGCGTGTTTTGCGAAGAACTTAACGAGAAATTGATATCAGAAACAATATGTAGTATTCGGGTAATGGGAAGGCAGAAGATTTATTATTTGGATGAGACATGGTTGAATGAAGGTCACACAGTTTGTTTTTAATTTTTGAATAATCAGAATTTATCGTTTTTGTGCGTTTTTCAGTTTCTATTTAATGATGACATGTGTTGCAAAATGTTGAGGTAAATTGTACTTTTTAAGTCTTTCAGTGTGAAGTGGAAAGCGTCGCGCCACTGTGGGCGGTCTCTTTTTAAAGAAGTCGGCAATATTCCTCCCATTCCATTGCTGTCAACAGTTTTGGTCATGAACTCTAGTATGTAACGGAATGTTTCAACCTAATTTTCACCAATTTCAAGAAACCTGATTAACTTGAAATTTTGCTCAGGGGTCAAGTGCTGATGACAATACAATAATCTTGGAAATCATTGATACCCGTATTTGACATTGTTTTAACAATTTGAATTGGAACATTTTGAAAAATTTGAATTTTGAAATTAGGAGAAAATTTAGATATTTTGAAATAATGGAAGTTTTGATATTTAAGAAAGTAAAAAATATCAAAAATCGAAGCTACTGATTGAAGTACTTTTGTTGTCATTTTGAGACTGAAAATTCAGAAAATTGAAGTTTAAAAAAACTTGAAAACACACTTAATAGCAAATGGAACTAAAAAATAGAAATCAATTTTCAAGTATAGGAGAGTTTGTGTTATTGCAATAGAAAGTTCAAAAAGCAACTATGAATAGTAATTTGGAATAACAACTAAAACAATTTTAACATTTAATATCAAGCACCCCACGCCTTTTTACGATAATTGAATGTTTTGTCAATAGTTTACCTTTTATATTGATCTTATTCCAAATTATTCAGCCAAACTTGATTGTTGGACTTTCTATTGCAGTAACACAAACTCTTCTAAACTTTTTAGTACGATTTGCTATTAAAGTGTATTTTCTTTTAGTTTTTTGTAAACTATGATTTATTGTAGAAGCACTTTGAACGGTTCACAATTCTATAGTAGTTTTAAATATAGTACCAATCTAATAGTAAACAAAAAAATTATCGATTTTTGTTACATCTCCTAAAAATAGTTTTAATACACACTGGAAATGCAAACCATCCAAATATTAAATAAAATGTAATAACGTTCAGCAATACTAATTAAGTAGTAGTAGTAGTCAAACAGTCAAGACGTGTTTAAATCACTAGATTTTATTGATAATCTTGGTGTTGAGAGAGAATACAAAGTGAATAAAGTAAAATTGGTCGATTGATATTAGTATTACCTATAAGTATTATACCCACTGCATTCTACTAATTGTTTTTGCCCGTCTCAACGGATTTTTTTTAAGATAGGAACAAACATACACAAACAACGAAATATTGTACATGACGTTTAAAAGTGCTGCAAGGGCAAGGAAGTGTCAAATTATGTTTGCATTGTTTGCAACATCTTTTACAAAAGTTCATGTGAACGAAAAAAGAAAAATTACTTTTATTGACAAGCACAGAATTTACTGTAGTAAAACAATTCGCAAAAGATGTCGACTAGACTAGTAGCAATAATAGCTGTTTAGCGCTATTAGCAGGTCTTATGTCAACGCTGTGTTTACAGTTATGTGTACTAAGCAACAAAGATAATTTCCGTTTAGCGGACACGGACTATGAATTTTATGAGCCACTTTTTTGTCTAATTAATTTTATTTTGTACACTCTGGTGTGTTTTCCTACAATGCTGTCCATAAAAAAAGTAAACGCTGCATCATGATATTATGAACTCTGTTTTATCTTATTGATATATAATATTCCATTTATTTTTTTGCAAAGTGAAATCACAAATTGGTCTTTACTGACGTTTCAGTCGTCTTTTTCAAAGCGTTTTACTAGTAATCATTTACGATTCTAAAACAGCTGTTTTTTAATTGATATCATTGGAATGATATGAAATGATGTTTTACAGACATATCGGTAAGGGATGCGACAGAGACACGTACTCAGTCCAGTCTCAGAGAAAGTTATGCGGAGCTTCCCCATCAGCAATCGACCTGCTGCCAAGTCCAGGAGTGGGAGCAGAATGGACTAAACCGCTCATCTCTGACGAGGGACACGAAAGCGATCAGATGTTTGAATTCGATGGTAAAACACCGCTTTTATGTATAATTTACCAACATATAACTAAAAAATATGTTGTTTGTTGGATACTATCATCATTTTTCTTTTGATTTGCATTGCTTAACCTCTCGATTTCAGTCAACGGCTAGTGTCATAGATAGCGATGAATTAAGAGTTTCAAACATTTCTGTTTAGGTTCTAGTACAGCTGTGTCGATACCAAATTCTGTGTTAGATCACAATTTGCCCAGCGTCTTCACAATAGCGACATGGATGAGGCATGGACAACATCAAGGACAAGACAAACACCTGAAGGAGCATATTCTTTGTACTGCTGATGATCATAGTAAGTATTGTTTTACACGCAGTGAGTGGGCAAGTCTGGTACACGGTCGGCTCGGTCACCGAAGAGGGCTCTGGCGCGGGGGTCTGGTGGCCTAGGACTAGGCTATCTCTGCCTCTTGGTCGTTGCGATTCTGGCTTGTGTATCCCTCATTTTGGAGAGGGGTGGGCCTAGGAGAAGGAGAACAATCTTCTCCGACAGCCAGGCTGCAATGAAGGCACTAAGTGCCTGTAAGATTACTTCGAGCCTTGTGTTGTGGTTGTCTAGCAGCGTGGCATCCGGTATCGTTAGTGTGGGTATCGGGTCACGCTGGGATAAAGGGCAATGAGACGGCAGACGCTCTGGCGAAGACAGGATCAGCCAGCAAGCTCGTTGGTCCTGAGCCAGCATTAGGGGTGCCCGCGCTAAGAGTTAGAAGTAAAGCGGAGAAGTGGATTGCAAGACAATACTCTCAGAAATGGAGAAGCATCTCCAGACATCTAAGTCAGGCACGGGAACTGATTGCAGGGCCCAACGCTAAGGATCGACGTTTCTGCTTATCTTTGGATAGAGCCAACCTAAGGTTGCTGGTTGGACTGTTGTCTGGCCATAACACATTAAGGCGCCACCTTCACGTGATGGGGGTGGCTAAACATCGCTTGTGTAAGCGGTGAGGGGTAGGAAGAGACCTCGGCGCACGTTCTGTGTCGCTGCGAGGCTCTTAGCTACTACAGTCAGACTATACTGGGGTCCATCACTTTGGACTCCCAGGCCGTTAAGGAGCTTGGACTCAAGGCCATACTCAACTTCGCTAGAATGGCGAGGCTTGAGGTCTAAGAAATGTGGAGGTGCACAAGGGCCCGTCTGAGTGGCCTATGCGCTGGCTCCGTATGGTGGCCGATATGCCTCTAATTTAGTGTTTTCATTCATTCATTCATTGCTTTACACCCTGATGAATTCATAAATCTATTCTGTTGAAATTAAAATAAAAATTCAGAAGGGTTCATTTGTGAATAAATATAGTTTGACTGTTTTTGAATTAGAAAATGAATATCTGAAATATATTGCAGCGTTTTTCTGGGTTTTTTTATTGGGGTGGATTAAAACACTGGATTCCACAAAAAGAAATGCACTAATTTATTTAACTTGACTAGGTAGAACATGTATGCACACCACTATTTATGTCTGACTATTTATTTACGAATTATGTCGCGTCATTCACTGAACTATACTCTACTCTGCTTCCCTCTCCCGGTCGTCGAGTTATAGAGTCCGCATCGTTGATTCGAGAAGATTCCGGTGAGCAGCATAGCGGTAGTCTAGAATCTTCGAGGTCACTTCGCGTCGATCTAGAAGGCGATTCCCTCAACAGATGTCGCCGACACCGAAGGAGAGTCTCTGGCACGGTCCACAACAGAGATCGGCCATGAAGCTCTGGCGAGTAGGAGTCTGGCGCGGTCCCCACCAGATGGCGCCAATATTATAGTTTTAAATAGGCACGTTTTTCGTATAAAAGTAACAGTATTATTGCGATCCATCAATTTTCAGCCTGTCATAATGGACTCTGAACGAAATTCGAATAAACCCCATATCGCTAGATGTATTGGTAAAAGCTTAAAAGCAGGAGAGAGGGACATAGAGATAGAGCAATGATTTGATATTATCGTTCTGACAACTAGCGTCGATCAGTTATTAGAGAGAGTATTAAAAGTCCATTTATAGATTTTCGTGAATGTGGCAACGTGCCAAACGGGGGCCGAGCTGGGCGGCGACCGACTGTATTGCCGACAAACCCCCTGCCTCTCATTTTCCCCCATCCCCCCTTCCCTTCTCGGTTTAATGGACTAGAACATTCAAATTGTCTATTGGAAATACACGGCGATGGAAATGTTGGAAATGTTGTATATCCATGCTATGATTTTTATACGGGAGTTTTAAAATGTATCGAGATGTCAAAACTAGATCAATTTCATAAAATATATGCCACATATCTGTGGATTAAACTTATAGTTAGACTCATGTCGTCGCTCTTGATATAGCGAAAGCTTTCTATCAGAGATTAGCAGAGAATTCCTCTCTGACGAAAGACATAGAGGTTATCACTGCCCAGGGACGTTTTCAATCCTGTACAGTTTAATGCTTCCAAAACACAGTACTGTACCTTGACGATCAAGAAGCGTCGTAGCGCTCATCCAGTTTCGATGGTCGAGTTCTCTCGGCTGGTCGGAATCCAGATCATCGAGGACATGATCAGGCACGAACACATCTCGTCAATAGCGACAACTGCTGTGAAAAAGCTAGGCTATTTGTTTAGAGCTGAGGAGTGCTTTGTTCATCACTCTGTACAAGGCCTAGATAAGATCTAGCCTCGAGTACTGCTCACATAGTTCGGGTGCTTCTCTAACAGACAGCCCCTTTCGCACCGACGGGGCGTCGGTGTTCTAGCTCTCTTCTACCGCTATGTCAACTGGCTTTGCTCCTTAGAACTCTCATCTGTGATGCCACCGCGCGTTATGCCTGCCAGACAGACCCACCTGACTTCGGCCTCCGATCCTAACCGCGTCAAACTTCGTACAGAACAGGCCGTTACGACTGCTCCTTTAGAGGAGGCTTTTCCCAGCTCTTTTAACGTTAGTCAGTTAAAAAATCGAATTAACAAAGTTTCTTTGAGCTCCTTATAGCAGCCACATTGCCCTGTCAAAATTAAAGGGTACTTTTAGAGTGCTGATTTACCACTGTTTTAATATAGAAGATTCCGTGAATTTTTACAAAGGTTTTTGAAACATACCGCATCCGTGCGTAGGAATAATCTTATTCGCGAGGTTAATAAATGTCATTTGAAAATTTCAGAAATGAACAGACATCACTATGCCCTGTTCGTGAGAAATTGTCGGCTGATTTTGCTGCTCCGAAGAGACTTTTCCGAAGGAGATTTGAACATATTCAGACCTGCAGAATGGCGATGGAAAATCCCGCAGGTGAGAAAATACGATATCACAAAACTGAAAATATTTTCTCTAGTAAAACTGTAACACTACTATAGTACGATAGTTATTTTGAGTGATAGTTTTTAATCTCGTGCAGGTTTGCGACGACCAATGGCATCACTACGCCATCAATGTTCGCTTCCCAGACGTCGAGCTGTACATTGACGGTCAACTATTCCGCTCAGAAAAAAAGAATCCGGAAGTGATCGACGATTGGCCGTTGCATCCGACTAAGGGAATTAATACTACGCTCACCGTTGGGGCATGTTGGCAGGTAAAGTCGTATTTGTCACTTTTTTATCTAGAAAAATATCACCCTCATAGGCTATTTCATGTCTCTTTTTATTTAGCTAGTGGTCGATGACCTGGGAACGAAATTTTGAGCTTTCCTTCAAAATGACGCCGCGTTTACCTCCTTAAGCGCGCTAGTTAAGCTCACGCTTCTTACACCAACTCGTCGATTATACTGATCGAGTAAATAACTTTCACTATTGTTTGAAAATCTGGAATGAATTGTTGACACCACATTTCGAAATTCTTCATCATCGGTGTTTCTACGGTGAGGTTCAAATTTGGCTGACGTAATGTGTACGAGAGAGAAGCGTCCAATATGTATTTTAGAAAGAGTGCGCCGATGGCATCCGTGGCCTCGTCACTCGGGTTTCTAGGCAACCAGGTGATTCTATCAAACACACGTATTGCACGCGTCCCGCACTTCTCTCTCATACACATTACACAAACGCGTCACAATACAAGCATTGCTAAAAACATAACTGATACTAGGTCTGCTGTAGGTCAGTCAAATTATTTCGGTAATTTTTGTCACACTCCTATTTATTATATGATTTGGTGTGGTGATACAATATAAATTAATTACAGAACGCGTATTCTTTAACGGAACATTGAGAATGATATTCATTTAATTTTATTCCCTACCATTTAAGTGTTCAATGACGTGCTCAGAGCTATTATAACTGGCTTATAATCGTTCCTCATTCTGTGTGTTTCGAGTCGTCACTTTTCAAACCTGATTTGAGGAGAAGTTCTGCATTCGGTACAAATCCCTTTTTCCCCCACAATGCAACACAATTAATCGTTTTCCCTTGACCAGTGGTGCTTGCAGACAATTATTTGTCTCAAACGTTTGCCGGATAACCGCGGGTCTACGGTAATTTATTACAACACTTGCAACTTATTTATGACAAATTTATAACCATGTCGACTGGACTATCACTTTCTGCAATGTCGACCACTCGACTGACCTTTTGGTGAAGGCGTCTGGATATTTATTCAAAATTGACGCTTTATCGAAATTCTACACGATGTTGACCATTTGGATGTCTCAAAAGCCTTTGACAAGGTATGGCACGCGGGCTTCCTTTATAAACTAATCCAAAAGAGTTTTCCTTTTTGGCTTCTAAAATTACTGAAAGCCTTTCTTGAAGGAAGTTTTGGATCAAAATTAACAATGTTTTGTCAACAACACGGCCAGTACGGGCCGATGTTCCTCAGGGTTTGGTCCTGGGACCAATCCTTTATTCGCTTTTTATCCACGAGGTCCCTTGCCCCAGCAACTGTGAAGACTATCTCCATGCTGACGACACTGCACTTGTCGCCCAGTCATGTACTGGTGATCTGGTTCACGATGGGTTGCAGAGTGCGGTGGAAGAAGTGGTACAGTGGGCGGAACGGTGGCTGATTAAAATTAATCATTCGAAAACGCAGGCTATTTATTGTACCAGAAAACGTCGCTGCCTCCCAGCAGAGGTCTCTGTAGACGGCAATCGTGTACCATGGACAAATTCTGCCAAGTACCTCGGTGTCACCCTTGATAAAGGCATGACCTGGCAGAAACATACAGCAGCCTTGAAAACAAAATTCTAAATTGCGTTTCGGCAACTATATCCTTTGTTATGTAGATCCTCCAAATTGAGTTTGATAAACAAAGTTCGCCTATATAAAATGATTATTAGGCCAGCCATTATTTATGCATGAGCGGCTTGGTGTTTTCTTGCCAAGACACATATGCAAAGTCTTCAAGTACTGCAAAGTAGAACTTTGTGAACAATTTGGAACGCTCCATGGTATGTCTCAAACGAGACACTACACAGACCTTGACATTCCTTACTTGAGGGATTATGTCAAACTTCAGGCGCAGCGTCGTTATAGTCAAGCGGAATCGCACAGCATCCCTCTGTTGCGCGACTCAGCGGAGCAAGTTCGTAAACATTCAAGGCCACGGCTCGAACTGTAATAAAAAATTAGCGCGAACTTTTAGTAATCTTAAAATTACACTCTAACAAAACCGAATCAAAATGTGTTTAGTTCACCTCAAAATTAGTCCCTGTACCAAGTCAAAAAGCCTAGGTGTCTCCTCTTAAACTAAACAATTATGTTTTTCTTTGCTCTTCTCCATTTTTCTTATCTTCCCCTTTCTCTTTTTCCTCGACATTGTCTGGTTTCTGGGCAACCAGTACTGACAGATTCGACTAACGTACATTAGACAGTGACTGCCCAGACAAATAAATGACGAATAGTACGATAGAGACCAATACTTCTCGAACTGTCGAACGTTGGCGTAACTCTGGTTGCCTAAACGTCGATATTACGAGCGCCTTTCATCATTACTCGAGGTCCCAGTACGAGATATGTTTTTGTTTTTACACATTGACGAGAAAGTATTGTAATTACGAAAATGTGATACTATAATTTTTTTAGGGATCTGATAACAAGATGAGGCATCATTTGAAAGGTTACTTAGCAGGCCTAAGTATTTTGGTTGGTGAAAATGAGAAACCAGAAGTATTGAGCTGCCTCCATCAGTGTAAAGAAAGTCTACAGGTTCCAGCTATGGAACTCCTTCAACCAGGCATGGAGTTGCTAACAAATTCTGACTTGACGGAAGTTACCGTAGAAGGCGACAATAGGACTAATCTAGAGACGCTCGTCAGAAAAATCGGATATCTGAACTCTAGGGAGTTTCCAACTCCTGGACGTAGGAATTTACGTCTCACCACCACTGTTACGTGCGATAATGGTGAGTTTTTCGTAAAAAATATCTTACTGAAAACAGCGAATCATCTATTAACTAGAACATATAAAAATTTTGAACTTACATGGTGTATCATTCATGTTTCTCCTCTAACTTCAGACTAAGTGCGCCCCAGAAAATTTGTGGGCGACCTTGAGTTGAAAACGGTTTTTTGAAAGGGATCTTGGACTCTTGGCTTATAAACCGGGTTGCTCCAACTGCATCTTTAATAATCTAGCGAGTTGAATTTACCTTTGTATTTCTTTGTAGGCAAGCAAGTGAAAGTACCTGACGCCCAAACTTATGTGATGGTCCTGCGTCCCCAAACACCGAGTATCATGTTGAATGGTACCGGAAATATGGCCAGGAAGTACGAGGATTTCAGACTGGGAGTCAGAGTATTGGCTGATATACATATCACAGGGGAACAGAAGCTGGACAAATGTCAACTCACCATCTACCCAAATCTCAATCCCGATCACGAGAATTTGAGCATCCCAGAAGACATGCTGAAAAGATTAGGTAAGTACAAATATGCAATCGGAGTAATGGCATAGCCCAACTTAGGAATGGTCTCAGGTAATCCCGCATCTGAAAATAGCATACGTGCGAAAAACAACTTCTGAGGCAGTCTGCTAAAAAAATGCTAGATGTCTTGTTTTCACCTATCCCGGTGGACTGTACTTTGATGTAATGTTCTGATTAATTGGCAACGTCGCGCCCCCTCAAGGCCATCACGCAAACTGAAAATTTATGCGGACTCGTATTTCGCAACTGCAAAATGGGAAAGTGAAACATTCTCTAAATAATTTGACGATTATGTATTACAGTTTTTTTGTTGTGTTTTGTGATTTTGTTTGAGAATTTCTTAAGCTGTTTTATGATATATGGACGGGTTTATTCTGGGTACTGTGGAAATAAATTGTGAGTGATTTTTTTCATTTAGGATGATTTGGAATAGACTTGGATTTGTTGATGATCGAGCGATTTATATTTACAAAATCATTATTTCGAGATATGAAGATTATTCATGGTGACAGCATCAAGATTTTTAAACATTTTCCCTGTTGTATGCTTTCAGAAAAAAGTTGTCTCTTGCCGATGATCTCCCCCTGAAATAAATTTCTGTCGATGTCCATGAAAGCAGCCAAACCCAACGTCTACCCAGTAGCCTCAAGCAGTTTGCCATTTAAACGTTAAAAACCCAGCTGCGGCAATTTTTATTTTTGCCCTACCACCTCCGCCACTGGAGCGGTTTCCAAAAAGTACAAACCTTTTTATCCTTGTTAAATAGTAAGCTTATGAGAAAATATCACTAAAGTTCTAGCGGTACTTTCCCTGTTGTAGACGGGCCAAGGATTAGCAAATAGACTGACAAACAGGAGACATACCGACATAAATGACATATACATATCATATAACATCCAAAAAACAAAACTCGATTGAGAAATTTTTCGCGGGTTACAATACGTCCTCGTCGATATGTGTGGAAAGTAAAAGCATAAACTTGAATTATGTTTAAATCTTCTCGTTCGCGTTCTATCTCCTATTTTGATGGGATCACGCTTTCTCATAGTAACCTAGTGTAAAATAGAATGCCGTTTTTGAAAAAAAATGACCTTGACATAGAATCAGTAATCCGTTTTAACTTTATTTTAACACCTCAACTGAATTTGACCCCAAACTGCGTAAACTTCGAGATGTAGTGCCGAAATTTCCGACTCTGTGTAAGTGACTATTGTCCTTTGGAATCTACGGATGATGTGAACCTTGTTAAATACAATATATACTGAGTGACAAAAAAAGGGAAACTCCTCCGTATGTTTATTATACCGGGTTTACATGCAGCCGACTTCCACGGCAGTGAGCAGGGAATTGGGCAGGGAAGTGGGCGCGAGTATGTAAACACGCATGCTTCCTTCGTTCGCAGTTTTTTGGACGGAAGTCGAAAGGACCAGCAGCTCGAGCGGCAGCGACCGTTTACATGCTGCTCGCTGTACCAACAGACAGTCCTGTCCTTACCACGTGGACGCAGGGTATCTTATCATAATTGATTCCTTATTTTGGCAAATTAGTCGATTTAAAATACACTTGGACCGTGATTGAGTGGAGCAATGATCAAATATTGAAGGTTGTAGTCTATGCGCCTGAAAGATTATTATGGTAAGCGAAGGATTGAAAAACATCCCAATACGAGAGCTTAAGTCGAAAAAAAATCGCTAATAGCAACATTTCGGCCGCTATTAAAAAAGAAAAACGCTTCGATTAGGTACAGGAGCGGGTGCAGATGAGGTGTGACAGCCCATTTGGTTTGCATTTGATGTAATGGAAACTTTTTTGGAAGCAGTTTATGGTAGGTTATAAGGGTGGCTGCATGTACATTTTGCGGTGTCAGTTAAATGTTAAATTCCGTGTAGCTTATTGAGAAGCCTTTTTGTGATTGCTCAAAATGCCTAGAGTGCGTAGAATTCTCCGGGTGTCCCAGCCAAGTGACTTTGAGAGGGGTCGAATTGTCGGGTTGCGTGAAGCCGGTCTATCGATACGAGAATTTTCTAGGAGGACCAACAGATCCTTACGCAGTATACTCCAGTGTGAACGACCGTGGACTCAGGAAGGCCGAGGTCAGAGAGCGAGGGGTTCTGGACGTCCCAGAGAGACTTAACGCCGGTTAAGACTTCTGGCTCTGCGAGACAGATTCAGTAGTACTCAAGCCATCGCTAATCAGTAGTGTGAAGACCATAGAAGGATGGTTGGTATGCGTACGGTTTATCGCCGAATATGACAGTTTGGCCTTTTCTCTTATCGCCCACATTGGATGCTACCTGTCACACCTGAACATCGGTGTAAAGAAAGAATTCTATGGGACCGGGAATGGAATCAGGTGGTCTTTAGTGACGAATCCCGCTTCTGTCGGGAAATGCACGATGGTCGGGGTAGAGTGAGAACGCGACTTGTTGAAAGACGTGACCCACAATTTGACGGCGTTATTCACCACACAGTGGGAGTTATGGTATGGGGTGCTATTGCTTATGGTAGCAGATCACCTTTAGTTTTGGATGAACATCGCATCAACCGTTTACCTTGGCTACCACGATCGCCTGACTTATCTCCAATTGAACATGTCTGTGACATTTTACCAGTAAGGGCCACTGAACATATACGCCAAAAATTATTAAAATCGGATAAACATACTCTACGTGTTTGCCTTTTTTGTCACTCAGTATAAATCGCATCATTTCCGGGACATTTTTATTAAAATTCCTGACCGTAATTGTGTAATTGTTGAACAACATTGACGCTGAAAAGATTATGTTGTTGGTGTTTCCAGGTATGGCTGCGAGAGTATCAAAGGACGGTGTCACAATCACGGGATCGGACATGGTGTACAACTATCAGCAAATTCTCAGGACTCTGGTATATACGAACAGAAAACCAGCTTACTATTTGAACAGGGTCTTCAAACTCACTTGTTCAGAATTGAATGGCAGATTTACTTCCAATGAATACGTCCAAACAGTGAGTAGAAACTTTCATTATTCAGGTAAACATCTGTATTAGGATATTTTTGATACAATTCCAGAGGTGATATAAAAAACTCCTTGATCAGGAATACATTGCAATGTACGTGATTCACGATTGATCATCTATTTCATAAACACATCTTTCGTAAAAAAGGATTCTGGAAATGTACAAATTTTTTCACTAAGTGTCGAATATCCTAAAGCTGATGGTTGAAGTTGAAGTTCGAGAGAAAATATTGACAGATTTATTTTTCATTCACTTTTATGACATGAAAGAATTGCACGAGTATGAGCTTTATGATTGCTGCCTCGCCACACGTAAATTTTAGTTTCTTGAAGGCAATAAACAGTTGTGTACAACCTTCCAACCTCTATTTCAACCCTTTAGGGGATGATTTTTCGCATATGCTACATGAAATTTGTATGTGGATTGCTCGTGTGTATTTGTACAAAGTTTCAAATACATCTATTGGATTAATACAAACTTCCATCCCCCTCGGGGACGAATTTCCCAAAAGCCTTATTAGTGCTAGCTTACTCTCGCTGATAAATTTCTCGTTTCTGTGGTCAACGATTTTGCCTCTGCGTTAACATTTATCCTTCGGAATGGTTTGTGATTCATATCGGCAAGATAAACACGTGTATTTTGCTCAATAAACTAGTAGTTATGGCCGGAAAACAGATGTTTTGGGATAATCAATTAGAAATTCTCAAAAAACTACTTGACCAATATACTCCAATTTTGTTGTTGTTATTTAGAAGTATATGAATCGTACGGATTTGAAGAATTTCAAGTAGTTGCGTGAAATTATCGTCGCATTACCAACAAGTGCCAAAACCTGCATTTTGCCTCGTTTTCCGGCCATAACATTTTTGCTATTAGTCGGATCATTTTACGTGTGGTCTCATTTTTAGGTCTCATAAATACCTAAAAATCTTGTTTTTTGTTCCTGCCAACACTTTCGATTGAATCTCAAAAAACACGTTTTCTCATTCATTGTTGTCAAATTGTTTTCCCACAAAAATTGGTGTACCCATTGCAAGAATAAAGCCAGACTTTACAATTACAAAATTTGCTAATATGATTAGACTATTGGGGAGATGGATTTTCAAGAATTCCTTCTTAGCGTTAACTCATTCTTTATAACCTTTCTGGTAAAATTTCAAGTTTCTACAATGAGCAGTTTCGGCTTTGCTTTCGTTTGGGGCACTTCAAGTGAAGCGGACAGCTAAAAAGAACAGGTTTTAAAATTGGTTTGGTTAAAAAAAAGAAAATGAAAAGTATTATAGTGGAATATGAAACATAGGGATATATGGAAAGTTTTGTGTACTACCTGATGAAAAACAAAATTTAAAATTCAAAAAAAGAAATTTTTGTTTTAATTGTTTGATTTCGGTTTAACACCTTAAGTTTTTTTTTTTGAATTTCATATCTATTTGTTTTTTTTTTATTAAAAAGTACAGAAAATTTCCTATATAAAAAAGCCATGTATCATATTTCAATTTGAAAAAATTCTTCGATAAAAAAATCCCACTTAGCAAGTAAACGTGCCACGAAAAAAATCGTTGTCTTTTCTTTCACATGTCCTAGTAGATGTTCAAACAGGCCCAATATGAACGGATTTTAAAACCTCATTTTTTTTTGCTGGCCGCTTCACGTGGAATGCCTCAAATACCAGTTCCTTTTTTACATACAAAGGGTACTATAAAAGTTTTGCAATACAGCTTTCTTTATTGACTTCATTCAAAGTAATTTCTACCACATTCAATATACTTCTCCATCCATCCACTTTGTTTTGAGCCTTGGTCGCCACATCGTAATAATAGAGTCAAGTCTCGTCACCTGTCACGATGCTGTTCACATGCTGAGATTGCCCCTTATCAAACATTTTCATCATCTTTCGGCACCAAGTCGTACGACGAGCCTTCTGCTCTTTTGACAGACTATGCGGTACCCAGAAAGAACGTGTAAATGGTCATGTAGAATTGAATGAATTACCGGTGCATGAAGTTGTAAGGTCTTCTTTCTCTATCTGTTGATGTGTCACTCTGCGATCTTCGTCAAGCATTTTCCTCACAGCAGTAATTTTTTCCTCTGTGACTGACGTTCGTGGCCTTTCTCTCCTATCAGCGTCCTCCAGAGAAAATTGCCCCTTTGGAATTCTCCGTACCACCTGAATATTATCGTACGATCAAGACAATCATTCTTTAATGCAAGCGCCATTTCTTCTAAGCACTGATTTATGCTTGCTGCTGGCGGCTACTATGCACTCATGGACATATCTCAACATGCAGTAATATGCAGCGTCATGTGTCCGTTTATTAGGTCATATTGCAAAACTTTTATAGTACCCTTTGTATACACGAAGTGTAATTTTTCTTTTCATTATTTTTTAGTTGACGGTGATCCATCCGACCCCTAAAGAGACGATCGCCCGCGTGGAAGAGCACATCAACAGCCACCAACGCCGCGAATCCGAACCGCGCCCTCTGGCGATGGTGAGCCACCAATACGCGGCCCCCGAGCGTCTTGAGATGTTGGGCAGCCCTAGGGGCGGCATGGGGGCTGCGGGGGCAGCAGCAGGCTCGCACGCCGTAACAGTCATTGTGGTGGTGTGCGTCGGCTTTTTGCTGTTCATGATTGTTTTGGGGGCAGTCAGAATTAGGGCGGCGCACAGATCGGCAGCGGCACATGCGGCGGCGGCGGCTGCTGCGGCACATCATCAGCACGATGCCTCCGAACAGGACGGAGAAATGGCTTGGGATGATTCGGCACTCACCATCACCGTTAATCCTATGGAGGTGGGTTATTATTATTGGGCTATTGGCACTGACACCAACAACGTTGATTTCTATGATCTGGGTCCTAATTTTCGATTATCGTATTTCAAGGTATTGGCCCTTATACAGGGTCTCCAATATATAACTGACTGATTTTTAGATTTTGATACACGCATTTCAGTGGGTGGTGTAGTGGAGCGCCCTGAGACGTCTACCAGACATCGTTCTCAAGAACTGGGTATTCGTCGCACGTCACTATTTTAAAAAAAGATTTGCATTTTCGGCCATACAAAATTCGGTTAACTCAATAATTACAGCCTAGTGACCATGAAAGTCGCCGACAATACAGTCATGCAATATTGTAGCTGAATAGCCAAAATAGCGATTTTTACCGACAACTGATAATGAGCGACGAAGCCCACTTCGATATGAATGGATTTGTTAATTAGCAGAATTGTCGTATCTGGGCATTAGAGAACCCTCGTGTCATCGATCAACTACCACTACATCCTCGTCAAGTCACAGTTTCCGGCTCCTCAAATTCAACAATTTAACCTGCAAAACATGTGGTTCTAGCTGGACTGAACAACTTGTCATACGGTTAGGGAAACAATGTATCTTTTGCAAACAATATTTCCGGGACGTTTAATTTCTCGATTTGGTTGGTGACTAGCCACCAAGGTCACCGGATGTAACGGCACCTGATTTTTTATGAGGATTTTTGAAAAATAGGGTTCATGCCAAAAAACCGAATACTGTAGAGCAGCTGAAGAACAACAATTACGGAAGCGATTGAAAATATTCCTCCTAAAACTTACCAAAAAGTGATGGAAAATATAATCAAAAGGGCTCAGGCTTGCGCGGCTTCTAGAAGCGGACATTTGTCTGATATTATTTTTCATACATAATTTCTAAGTTTCAATAGAAGATTAGGATGAAAAAAATGGACGCAATTTATTTCATTTCGCAAATATGCAAGGTACAAACCAGTCACTTACATATCGGCCACCCTGTATAAAGCTACTGGAAATTATTTATTCTCAAATAACTACTATGAATTCAACGCCCCTTTCCCCTGTATCCCCCATAGTCCCACTGTACCCAGTGGGTGTTTAGGCCTTAGGCCTTCGTGGTAGTAGTTGGAGTATGACAAAAAAAACGCGTCTATCTTGACGCTCTGTGGTACGCCTCGGTGGACCACTTGGCCTTCTTCGTGTTACTCTACCTTCTATCTACACACGACACACACGCATTACCGTCATTGCAGTACAGTTAACACGGTGGCCAATTTCGCGATAGGCAATAATTCTAGCCCTGTGAAAGTCGCTAACATGGTGATAATTTGGACGTCTTCGAACTCGAGGTATTTTGTTATGCTTAACACTAGTTAATGAAAGGTCAATAACTAAAAATATGTGTACTACTCAGCTCTCAGAGACAGCTTCCTTCACGAAAACTAAGAGATAACATTTTAACAAAGGTAAACAAAAACAACGATAAAACGTTGACATTGTTGCCACAGCATATAGAATTCAACGAAATCTTAACAGATTAGTAAACAATTGGAGCCTCACTTGAAGATGTTTATGAAAAGCAGTGAATTCATTTAGATTTCCAGGGAGGACTAGTATCTACCGTAGAGAAGTGGTTCGCTAAATTTAAACGAGGCGAAATGAGCACCGAGGACGATGCACGCAGTGGACGCCCCAAAGAGTCTGTTACAGACGAAAACATGAAAAAAGACCACAAAATAATTTTGAAGTTGATTGAGATAGCTGAGACCCTAAAGATATCAAAGGAACGTGTTGGTCATATCGTGAATGAATATTTGGATATGCGAAAGCTCTGTTCAAAGTGGGTGCCGCGCGAGCTCACAATCGACCAAAAACAACAACGAATCGATGATTCTAAGCAGTGTTTGGAGCTGTTTAATCTTGATAAATCCGAATTTTTGCGTCGATATGTGACGATGGATGAAACATGGCTCCATCATTTCACACCGGAGTCCAATCGACAGTCAGCCGAGTGGACTGCACGTGATAAACCGACTAAAAAGCGTGCAAAGACGCAAAAGTCGGCTGGCAAGGTTATGGCATCAGTATTCTGGGATACTCATGGTGTAATATTCATTGATTATTTCAAAAAGGAAAAACCATAAACAGCGACTATTACGTAGCGTTATTGAAGCGTTTAAAGGACGAAATCGCGGAAAAGCGGCCTCATTTTAAGAAAAAGAAAGTGCTGTTTCATCAAGACAATGCACCGTGTCACAAATCAATGAAATCGATTGCAAAATTGCATGAATTGGGCTTCGAATTGCTTCCGCAGCCACCGTACTCTCCAGATCTGGCCCCCAGCGACTTTTTTCTGTTCTCAGACCTCAAAAGGATGCTCATTGGACAGAAGTTTCGCGCCAATGTAGAGGTAATCGCCGAGACTGAAGCCTATTTTGAGGCTAAAGACAAATCATATTATAAAAATGGTATCGGAAAATTGTATGGCTGCTATAATCGTTGTATCGCCCTCGAATGGAACTATATTGAATAATAAAATCCAATTCTATCAAAAAAAACTTTTCTATGTCAGCCTACGAACTTTTTAGCCCACCTGTTATTTGCACAGCGTCTCGTATAGTTCACGACAGACTTATAATTGTATGCTGTTTTTGTCGACGGTCCTACGGAAGATTCTATTTGTATGCGGTCACGTACCCTTCACGGATAAACACGCGCTTTTGGCATTTTCAATGGGCAGTTCGAAAGACACTACAACACTAGCACTATCAAAAAATAACTATAGACACGAAACTAACAACACAATAACAAAGATCGATTAGAAGTTGCAATAAACACAGAGATCATCAATCACAAACGAAGTGCTCCAAAAAACTATTTTTTCTACCTGCAATGCCTATGTTCATATGTTCGATATATTTTTCAAATTTCGACATTCAAAAATTTTCTCAAAATTTCCAAATCTTCAAATTGTTTTCCACATTTCTGAATTTTCCAATTATTTTACAAATTTTCTAACATTTTTTTTCCTAATTCCAAAATCCCAAAGTTTTTTAAAACTATTTTACATACATATAATCATCATCAAGTTAATAAAAGCGTGTTGAAAACAAGTAAACATGCAAGATGTCCACTTTAGGATTACTTTTAGTTATATACGTCTAAAAGTTCTTGTAGAATAAGCACCTTTTTTCAACAACTTTGGGAACAGACACACCAAAAGAGACTGCTGTATCTCAATCTACTTTCAAATAAGGCAAAATAACTGCCCTATGTTGTAACTAATAATTATTGAAACGAAAGAAATACTTTTTAGGTGAGTAAGCAATTTATTGGTCTACATAATTAGTATCTAATCGATGATCAGTGGTCAGTTCAAAAAAATCGATGTCTGTTTTGTGTATCAAAACATTATGTAGATTTATATAATCAAGGGAGCGTAGCATGTAAATGTCATTTTGATCTTAGTAACATTGAAAGTTAGGTAATTGTTCTCACATCTTTTGATTGATTGAATATCACTGCCAATTTTTTACCTAATTTCATCTATATCTGTGTCTTAACAAAGTATTGTGGTATCTTCAGCAACAACTATGCATTTACCATTCATATTTAAATGTTTTAAGTCGTTAATATAAATTAAAAATAGGATCGGACCTAGTACTGATCCTTGAGGTAACATACTTTAGATGCAAATCGACAAAAGAGCCTTACCTGGCCTCTTCTTTGTCAAAAAATCGTATCTTTGATTTATTCATTCAACACTTGAACATATATCAATATAATTTGATACAGAACGCAGAACGTAAACTGGAAGGTGGTCTGCAATCCGGCGCCGAATATAGTTCGGAATCCGAAGAGCAAAGCGACTCCGAGGACGGTTCGTCTTCCGAATGCGAAGGAGGCGGCGCAAGACACGCAGGGGGCGGCAACGGAGGCAGGAGAATCATCGCAGCCTCAGAATGCTCCACTTCGGATGATGACGATGACGAAGAGTGCGGCGGGCCGCGACCAAATGCGGCCACAAGGACGGCACTCGCTAGGGGACACAGGTATTAACAATATCCAGAGACCCAGATTAAATTTATCTTCTAGTATAAAATCAGCATTGCTTAGGGTAATTGACAGATTTAGCAAGCCTAGGCATTTTATAGCAAATTCAAACGTGTAGCTAGGATGGATGTGAAACGGTGTTAACATGGGCTTCCCATTATGGGGGACGTATGCTCCTCCCCCTTTCGGGGACACATGCTCATATGTCAAAATCGATAGAACCGTTTAAGCTGTAGCCCATGAAATAGGAATTTCAAGATTTATTTTTACTTCCCACGCCTCCTGGGATCAACTATTGTAATTGCAAAAAAATTCGAAATTGAGATGGTTTTGGATATAATATTTTTTTCTTCACCATATCGTTCCCCAGCTTGTCTTCAAACAAGGACCATACCATCGGGAAACATGCCATTTTCCCACTGCTGATGCCAATTTACTCGCTCCAGTGCCCATTGGTACCTGGCGACTCTATGATTGTTCAAGAGTCGGGTACACGCGGCACGACGCCCTGCTCTTTAAGAAGTGCTACTTTAAAAAAATATCTAGGAAATTTTTTATAACATATCTCAAAGACCTCAATTCAAAAAATTTTACATGAAGAATTAGGGGTAAGAAAATTAGTTTCTCGTTGGATACCCCATCTGTTGGCTGAAGAGCAGAAAGCAGCCAGGGTTAATTGATGTCAAAAAACGCTTAACCGTTTCAATTCCGGAAACTCAAAAAATGTGTACAGCATTGTTAGTAGTGGTAATGAATCGTGGATTTACTGTTATGAACCAGAAAATAACCGACAGTCGGCTCTTTGGGTGTTCCAAGGTGAAGAAAAGCCAACAAAAGTCATCCGTTCTCGAAGTGTTTCGAAAAAGATGGTCGCGACATTTTTCAAAAGCGAGTCATATTGCAACAATTCCTCTTAATGAGCAAAGAACTGTTACTGCGGATTGGTATACCACCATTTGTTTGCCAAAAGTCATCACCGAGCTTCGAAAAATCAACCCCGAAAGAAGAATCATCCTCCACCAAGACAATGCAAGCTCGCAGACAGCCCAAAAAACAAGGCAGTATTTAACGGAAGAAAACGTGGAATTATTGTACCATCCTCCATATAGTCCCGATCTAAGTCCTAACGATTTCTTTACTTTCCTAAAAATTAAAAACAGACTGCGTGGTCAAAGGTTCCAGTCACCAGAAGAAGCAGTTGACACATTCAAAAATGCCGTTTTGGATCTGCCAGCAAACGAATTGAATAAGTGCTTCGGAAATTGGTTCGAGCGCATGCAGATGTGTACTAATCTTCGTGGAGAATACTTCTAAAAAACAATAAAGTCATTTAAAACTACCTACCGTGTTGTTTTATTTCCATATGCAAAACTTAAAAGACATCCCTCGTATTATTCCACTTTGCTGCCAAAGGACGTATCTCCGGTATTCTGATATCTACGCCTTAAACGGTATATTGAGGACCGATCAACATTATAAATTAAAGCTACATCATTCACTCAATTAACTTCTCCAAATGATCTTATGCAGGATGAAACTGGAGAAACGTCATATTTGCATGGAGAGGGTAATAAAAAAAATACGATGTCGAGCCGAAAGACATTTATTGCGGGAAGTTAAAAATTCGATAATTTTAGTTATAGCCAACTTTCGAAAAATTTGAGATATCACTTTTTTTTAGGATAGTCATCAGTCAAAACTTGAGAATCTGATATCGCTCCAAACTTTGCTAAAAAAGCATGACTCCCTTTGCTCACAGATAAGTGGATAAATAACAGGAATATATCGATCGAACTTTGTACGTATTCTTAAAGAGTTGATCAAGATCCTCCCGAATACCGCAACTCGATATCTCTTTCCGTTCCGAAAATATCGAGATTTGAATTTGGGGAAAATTTTCCATGTTGCAAAGCAACTGTCCACCAATTTATTTGCCTATCCGCTAATCCTTTGATATAACTTCGAATGTACCGGTCGGATTTTGATGAAATTTCCACCAAAGGTTACTGTCATGCTAAGAACGAAACAGCATTGATGATTTTGAAAACCGACGACTAACTGCGAGCAAAAAGTGAAAAAACAGAAACGTTCGCTTTTTGACGTTTCAGTGACTCGACCTTTTGTTTCTTTTGAAGGATGCTAGGTGCATGGTCAACTTATTTGACGCCATTTTTTTATTGCAGGTATCAAAATGTGAGCCAACTTGAATGGGACAACTCCACCATGTAAAAATGAGGGAGTTTAAAACGTCACCTGACATGGTGAATAGTTAAGGTACGGCGAGTAGTGTTACTGGGAACGAGACGGACGTACACCTCATAAAATATAGTACAATCTTTAGAGAAATAATTTTGAATCACTAAAACATTAGTATCATTTATCTAAATTTTCTAACTTTATGTATACTATCAGTTTGCAAATATTAATTTCAAGTTAATATTTCTGTTTGAAAATATTCTAACTATACGGATTCATACTACTTATTTATCTATATCCTGGAAGTGACGTACAATTTTATTTAGTAAAATCTCGAGTTGTATTCATTGATCAAACTTTTATAAACAATGCGAGAATACAAGGTTTCATTCTCAGAAATTATTTTGGAAAAGACTCTTGCATCCTCACCTAGGAATTGATAGAAATAAAGAGTAAAAAAATACAAAATCAGTCTCGTTCCCAGCATTCCGACATTGTCCTCGTACTTCTCTATAAGAACTTGATGTGTATAAGTAGAGAGTGGAACAAACAAAAGAAATAATAAAAACAAACTACCGTTTTAGCGCACGTGCGCGGACGGTAAAACATGCACCTTTCCCGCTGCCAACTTGAAAAACACGCTTGCGGCAGCTTCAAAAAAATGATGTAGAGAGCTACAGCCAATCAAAATTGTTATACGAACAGCGCCTTGTTGGAAAGTTTTTAGGTCAAAGAAAGCTTCATTTTCAAGTCTGTAACTGATTAAGAAAATATACTTTGATTTCAAAATATTAGACCTGATTGAATAAAGCATTATTTTGTCTAAATGATCATCGCTTAAGCTATATACAAAAATTATATAAAAAATACGAGCGTGTTTTTGCGTTTGGCGGCCATTGATATCAATAAATTACTCGTCCATAATTGTTAGAGATATAATATACATACAATATACAAACATACAGTTTGTTGTATATCCGTTCACCTTTTTAGCTAGTATAAGAGCTATTTACACTCTCCTACGCTTGAGTATATTTCCCGCCAGACGTTTCAGCTTTTTTTTTCGAAAAAAGGCAGCCATTTGTTTTCGTACAATTTTTTCGGAATTAGCCACTTTGTTAATTATATTAAAATTTATTTACCTATGGTATCAAAAACGCAAAATTTTTAGATATTATAAACAATAAGTTTGCGTAAACTGAAGGTGAAAATCGGGAGTTTTAAGAAAGGTTTGTCTGAATTTAATTTTTACATTGTATTAATATTGAAAAAATAGATACCTACTATGTTAAAGTATTAGAATTTGTCATAATTCGACACCAAGATGGAAATGTTGTGTTTTTGGTACTATACAATTCGTTATAAACGTATATTCGATAGAGCCACACTCATGCTTGTAGATAGAAGTGTGATATCAAAATATATAGAAATTCGTTGTATTTATAAATTGTTTTGAGACCACATTTGACTCTGTAAGCGTGTGTTTTGGTCTTTCTACTTGTTATACGAGTGAGTTTGAAGTCTAGGATATTATTATTATATATAGTATTTGTTCTGTAGCCGATAAGTGTGTTTTACTATTCCTCAAGTATTTTTATATATTCTGTATTATACTTTTTTTATTCTTTTCTAGCCTAACAAAATGGGGCCTATCATATAGTGCGCAGGCATTCTTTTTGATACCGTCGGCTCGATCCATTATCGTCATACTTGCCATAAAGTCGATATTTCATCTCCTTCCTTCCCGTGAAGCCGAGGTATCAAAAACACGTTGTTGTTCATTTTTGAAGGTATAAACAAGCATCAGCATTCAGTTTATCTACTTAAACCCATATTACACGCTTTTTTGTACTTACTACTCTTAACTACCTAGTGTAAATTTATTTAATACACATCTGGACAAGCAGAATTGGACTTCAGGAAAACGTAGAATTGTCAGACAAAACATACAGGGTCAGTTTTTTTTATGGGTACCGTTATTACGCATGGTATCTAAAAAAGTTAATTACAAAAATTGTAGACAACAGTATGCTCCGTACTATTTTTAATTCTACGGGGTGACTCATAATTTTCATAACTTTGACAACTCGCACATCCGTAACTGTTAAACCTAGAGAAATGAATTTATCGCCACAAAAATTTCATGATCCCATACTTTGTCCCTATCTACTTACCTTTTCAATGTTTTTCTCAGTTTATACGGGGTGGTCAATAAGGCAGAATGAACGATTTTTTAGGATTATTATCAAACGCAACATATACATAATAAATATACATATTTTTACAATTTTGATTCCCCTTTTCACAGGCTTTTTTCTGATGAATGTTTGATGGGGGTAAGTAAAATTAGTTTTTGAATACTAAAAACGCTGGGACACCCGCTTGACTTTCCGAATGTATTGCGTCAAGTTAGGTTCATTTAATTTTTGATAAAAATACACAAATTTTAACCACCTTCAGTTACTGGCTGAAAGCTTATCTTGGTTTGAAAATATCATTTAGATTGATATCCGGTTTACAAAAAATCAACTGTAACTCGAATCATTTGTACAAACTTTAATAAACCTTATATAGAACAAGAAGCCTGTAAAAAGGAGAATTAAAACGTATGAAACTCTATCAGGTTTTCAATTTGAAAATTTTGAGAAATCGTACATTTTGAGGTTTTGACGACACTGTATAGTCTAGCTGTAACATTTGCGAAATGCAAGTTGTTAAAGATGTGTTTTTTTTTTGATAGATTGTCCAACATCTCAACAATTTGAAAATAAAATCCTATACATTTTTTTTTCAAATTGCTTCGTTTGAAAATGCGTATTCGAAGCTGCGTTAAAATGTCCATCTTTCAATTTAAAAATTGTGTTATATAAATGAGAAAAATTTAATCAATCATACTTTTGTATTTAACTTTTTTAGATTACCGTTGGTAATAATGGAGATCTCGACTAGGCCCATATTACTTACCCTGGATGATATCAACCAAAAAATCTCTAATTAGCTTAGATGAACCTTTTGTCGACCATTGATATGAAGCACGAATCTGTGGATGGTCCAACAATCCTCACCCAGTAATAATGAAACCATATCAATTTTTTAAATATTGTGCAATCATTTTGGCTGTTTTCCTTTTATTTGTGGGTAGGTTTCGCGACTTCCATAATCACGCAGATAAAGCAAAGATAACCAGGTATGTAAAAATGAAGAAGGCTAATATGAAATGTTTGCTTAGTGTTTATAACTAAAAAATTGGGACATTATTGATTTCTACGTTTTCGGCAAACTAATTGATGTTTCAAATGTTTCACAGCATTTTAACCGCCCACTTGTTGAATAGCACCCATCTTGAAGAAAAAAATAACCTGGACGGAAAGTCGCGAAACGCACGTGTGTTTTCCACAAATTTTTCTAAATGTAGAAGTATCGATGTTCGTCCTCTAATCTCTGTATACATTAAAATCTTTTCGCACAATTTTACATTTTTCGTTCTCTGGGTATACCAGATATAGCGATCAGATGACACTGTACGTTTTCTAAAATGAAATCGTAAATGTCAAATTTCAAGGTGTTTTATAGTGATTTATATTGTTCTTTGCAGTAACCGAATATTAGATTTTGAATCAATAAATAGCAATAGTTAAAAGATGATGACAGTGTCATCTGTCGCTCTATATTTAAGAGTGTACATACAGTTTTTGCAGCGAAAATAGTATTTTTTGTATGTAGTAACGATATGAGTACTTAAATATATAATTCGAATGAGACACTATGGGGGTTGATTTTATTTTTTGAGGTACATACATTTGGCAATATACCTACTCGTAATATTACTACCGTAGGTTAAAGAGATATATCATAATGATGCAATATTTGTAGTAACTATTTCAGTATAATCTGTTGTTGAATTTTTCAGTTTTCATTATTTTCAGTTGTGCAAGATTTGCAAATTAGAAATTAGTAGCTGTGATGTCGAAAAAATTATGCGATTTACAGCAAAATAAGCACTTCTACAACTGGACTCTGATATTCGAGTTTATTGCAAGTTTTCCAATACTCTGAAAAAACTTCAAAGCAAAATACAGGGTGTTCCTAAACATTCATCTTACCTTATGCTGTACAATTTTTGGGCTTTAGTGAAACGCATATATCAGCAATTTGTTGAGTTTAACACATGATTTTAATATTGAATTTCCAAGTAGAATAAATCCGAATTTTCAGATAACTGGAAAACTAGTAACTATGAAATTGTCTAACTTCTACTTCATAGAGTAAATATACTATTTTTGACAAGATACGTAAGGGAAATGAAATTCTCACATTCCAGAAATGATGTAATATGTAATTTATTTCTATGTAAAAGTTTATAATATGGCTTATTTGTGTGTTGAGGAAACATCAGAATCAAATAATCCGAATGTCTTTAGGTGTTTGAAAAAAACCACAATAATTATGTAATATGTGAATGTACATTAAATATTAACAAAATAAATTTTGCGTTTTATTTATTTTCATGATCTGGTAAGTTTACACGAAAATGATTATTTTCCCGCATAAGGTTTTCAGACACCTGCTTATCTGTTTCCGACTCTCGTTTCCTGGGTAAATTTGGTGCGTACGTTTCGAAGACGACGTCATTTTGAGCCAAGAACCAACGAAAGATGCTTTAGGACTATTGGCGGAGATGGGTGAGGGGGAGCTATGGTACCAAAAAGATCTAAGACGCGCATTTTGTGCTGAGCTAATGAGCCCCAAAGTAGAGAAAGAGCAAAAAAGCACATTGACTCCTTACTGCATCAGTAATAGTAAGATCCCTCGCGTCACGGATCTGGGGTCAGGGGCTCAAGGCAAAACATATCTGAGGGCCAAGGATGCAGTCAGAAGGGTCCTGTGGGAGGTCTTACTATTACTGATGAAGTAACGAGTCTAAGAGCTTTTGTGCTTCTCAAAAGACAATTTATCCCTACTTTGGCGCTTATTGGCTCTCGAGGCTCAGCACAAAATCCGCGTCGTAGATTCTATGAAACTGTGATTTTCACGTTGATATAAGACTTCCTAAATGTCTGGCTGATAAATGAAACCGCATTTATTTAGTACTATCTACTAAACATAAAATATATTGTGACAGTGGCGTAGCAATGGAGGCGGCGGGGGTGACCCGCATCGGGTGTCACCGTTTTGGGGCGGTGACTCAACTGCTTCAGAGTTGAACTCCACTCAAGATCGAAGTCTCTTCAAGACCTAGCTTCATTGTTTGTGTACAAACAAATACTTCGCTTTTGACGAATACTGAAGAACTGAAATTACTTACATCCAAATTTACTGATTTTTATGATGATGTCTCAAAAACAGAAATATTTTTGGAGTTACCAAGACTGCGAAGACACTTAAAAGCCGCTTATGTTTCAGGTTCTGAATGAGTATCTCTAGATTTTTTCAAGTTTATTGTAGAATAGGATTTTATAAAATCTCTTCCAAATTTTATGATTGCACGAAAATTGTTCATGACGGTTTGTGTGTCCGTAGCTTCATGTGAAAGGAGTTTCAGTGACACCACCAACTTCCGCACCGGGTGACAGGCCGAGGTAGCTACGCCACTGGTCAGTAATAAAAAGTAATTCCTACATATTATGTGGTTTCATTCAGCGATCAATCATTGTCCTGAACTTTCCAAACATATATTAGAGGATTTTAGGCAAATACATGTGAGGGACAAACTGTGGCAATAGGGAGTAGGGGTGTTCCAATCCAAGAAAAGTATATCCCCCAAAAATGCAAAAACAAGGTAAATGAAGTATTCGATTTGAATGACAAAAATGGCGACCAAAAACTTATTTCGTCCAGGCGTGGGAAAAACAATAGTAATACATAAATTACGATTAGTTGACGTTATTGGACAAATAGTGTGCAACTAGGGCAAACTTCGTCTAACTCCGTCTGCCATTGGGAACATAATGGACAATAAAACATCAGGTATTGATAGAATACTTTAATATTTTCAAAATAAATCATTAAAATAAAATCAATACGCTCATCACAACGAGAAAATAGTAACGAGTTACAAACTCAATATTTTATACACTTAAGCTTTAGATCTTGCGTTTGGCTCAGGTTCTTGATAAGGTAAGGCGTCCCTGAAAAGAGAAATCTAAGTCACGCGATGTCTTACCAATATTAATCAAAGTTCACTTTTATTGATTTCTTAATGATTCTTACCTCGGGGCACGTAAACCGTATTTTCCTCGGAAAGTAATTTAACTTCGTCGCCAACTCGTGCCAGTGCTCGTCCAGTAAATACGATAAAATACTAGAAAATAGAAAAACCTTACTATGATTCTTAACCATGTTTGCAAAGCTATGGATAGTGTTATACATTTTTTAATAATCATAAAAAATGGCATTGATAGATCCCTTGGTTTTCACTAATTCGTTGACATCTTTTGATAGTTTCAGACCCATAAACTTGGTATCAGTTTTTTGAGATGGTAATATTGATTTTTTCACCTCTAAATGATCTGATAAATGAAATTGAACATGGTTATATTAAGGTCAATCAACTCTTACAACTGCTTATAATTTTATTCAGGATATTCTATTAGACTTGGACAACAATAAGTGTGTTCTGGGTATCTTTCTTGACCTTACTAAAGCATATGACTGCCAAGATCACAATATATTATTGCAAAAATTAGAAAGATATGGCATTAGCACTTACTTGAATAGAATCATACCTCTTCAATGGTTCAAAAACTATTAGGATGTAATGGAATAGCTATTTTGAATGCACTTAATGTTGAAACAGGGGTGCCTCGATTAGGTCGTACATTGTTTGGAATTTTTTAGTCATATGCATTCGCGAGTTAGGATTTCTTAGGTAATTAACATTGTATGTGTATTTCTGCAGAGGTTTGATACTTGTTTAGATTTCTGTGCACTTAAGATAGGACTTCAAAAATATAAATTGATGGAATTCGTAACATTTGTAGATATTTGAAGTGATTTTTACTCGTTGATACATAACTGGAATATGTAATTAACCATAAATCCGTTTTTTGCAAAATGAAACTTTTGCTATACCCTATTCGTAGTCCATTTACAAGATGCAGCGCGGCAAAGCGGCAGCCGCCTAAGCGTTGCAATAGTTATTAGGCATTTTTCCATAAAACTACGAACAAGTGTAGGATTCGACAGGATAGAACTCAGACTCGGGATATCGCCGGCACGCAGGCGCCGGCAGTTGCAGTTCATATTCGGTGCATACATAGCGTGTGTGTGTGTGTATACATTAGCATGTCCTTTACGGATACAGCAGATGAAACAGAATATTTCTCCCAATGCTTCATTCAGCAATGCTTCCTCTTCAGTGACGTCTCCTACACTAAACTTTATATATATATATATCTGGTAGATTTGGAACCAACACCTTTTAGATACTCTGCTTGTATTATTATTAGTTTACTTAAATACTATATGAATAAATGAAAAGGAAAACGATTTGTTATCTGTCACATTGGCAGTGAAGATGGTTTTGTGCTCACTGCCCTATGGGCATTTGAGTCAAAGAAAACGACCGACTACCATAAAGAAATGGACGGGAGTTCATTTGAACGATGGTTTGAAGAAACGCTCCCAAAACTTGACAATGGCGTCATTATTCTCGATAATGCTGTATGCCACACTAGAAAACTAGCAAAAATTCACACAATGACCACAAGAAATGAAGAAATTCAATAATTGCTCCTATCAAAACGCATTAGTTTCAATCAAAATATGGTCAAAGCAGAACTTATCCATCTAGTCAGGCAGCACAAATATAAATATAATCTTAATGTTATTGACGAAATGGCTAAAATCCAAAATAATACCGTTTCAAGGGTTTTTAAGTTTTAAATCCCATTGAAATGATTTCGGCAAATTTAAAAAAACTATGTGGCTTCAAACAACAGAACATTCAAATTTTCTGAAGTGAAAAATTTGTTTGATGAAGGTGCCAACGGAGTGACGGCAAACCATTGCATCCGTCACGTTCAAGAGACAATCGAAACAAAGATGTGGGATCTGTACAATATGACCGATATTCAAACTGAACCTGTAATAATTACTATTAACAATTCGGACAATGATTCAAATACTTCCAGTGAATATAGAATTCTGGAAAGTATGTTCGCTTCTTTCTATAAAAATTATCATTTACTTTGTTAGATTATTCCAAGACCATCGAGGTAAATACGGACCTGTACAATCTCGCTTTTGGGCATGTTGTGTTTTGTCTGGGCGTAAATGGACTACGAATGGGGTATAGGTACTGAGTTTCCCTTTATCATCCATCATAAAAAAAGATTGGCAAATACAGGTATCCTACATTAACTTACCAGATCGGTTTTGTTAGACCTGCTGTACAATTTCTCGCCGCCCGGTTTTATCAGTACATGGTTCATATTCCTCATAACCATTGAAGGGCCTACCAGCAGATGTTTATTTTTTGAATCTGTACTTTCGTATTCCACTGCCTGCGTATCGAAGTAGACACCTAATCACAAAAAAAGTATATTATGTTACACAAGATATACAGTATTTGGTAAAACAATTTTGGTTCCTTTTTTTGTAAAATCTATAACTGTTGTTTGCCTCAAAATTATAAAGGTTATCAATAAATTCATAGAAATTTTATTTAATGAGTATTCTTTGTGTTGTTCAATACAGAGTACCGATCTTTTTAACACCTTTTTATTAGCTTGTTTTTTATTCGAAGTAATTGATAACAATTTCAAGAAGTCTTATTAACTTGAAAATTTTTACAGGGGCTACAGGCCGATACAATATAATAATCTTGGAAAAAATCGAATTTGAAAGTTTTTAAAAAAATTGAAATTTGGAAAATAATTTGAGGAATTGACAACTTTGAAAAAATGTTTGGAATTTTCATAATTTGAAAAAAATTGGAACAGAATATACCAGACATCTAAGCACTTGATTATAAGTACTTTTGTTATCATTTTGAGACTAAAAATTCAGAAAATAAATTGACTGAAAAAACACGCTTAAAAATAGCAAATCGCACTAAAAAGTAAAAAATAATTTTCACGGTTGTGTTACTGTCATAGAAAGTTCAAAAATCAATGACTAATTAATTCGGAATAAGATCAATATAAAAGATAAGGTATTAATAAATTTTCAATTATAAAAAAAGCGTGGGGTGCTATTAACTATACTTTTATAACACCAATTCTAACATTTAATATCAAGCACCTCACGCCTTTTTGCTATAATTGAATTTTTTAATATCTTCATTTGTATATTGATCATACTCCAAATTAATTAGTCAGACTTGATTGCTCGACTTTCTATTGCAATGACACAAACTCTCCTGTACTTCAAAATTATTTTCTACTTATGAGTTCAATTTGCTAATAAAGAGTTTTTTTATTATAACTCAAGCTTCTATGAAATATTTCTAAATGTGTTCAACATACTTGATGGATTAGGTTCATTCAAAGTGGAGATGTTCGAGTCCCGAGCTATCGAGCCGGAACGAATCCTGTTGCTGTAATTGGTCGCTCCAGTCTGCAATGGGTTTGACGTTTTACATGTCACACCTGTCGATGTAGATGGCTCACCTGTTGTAACGCTCATCGTTCCATTATCGACCATACCTAAAATGTACACATATTTCTGAGTCAATGCATAAACGATTCTCTGCCACACGACGATGAAATAGAAAGCGACGCAAAATTAAATAATTATAACGTTCGAAAATATTGTTTAATCATACTAAGTGACATACGAGCCCCTTCCCACTTCAGTTGGCCCACTTCCAAGATTTTTACCAAAATATGCCTTTATAAACATGAACATGACGAAACTATTTACTTCTAAAACAATTTATTTTCTCAAACACATTTTAGATACACTCTAGTCGTAAAAAATACATATTTGAAATCACTTAGACCTATAACTAATAGAATATCTGAACAAATAAACAATGTGCGAATAAATGCGCGAAATTAACAAAGCAACAATTCAAAGATTACCATTGGGTAACATCACCTTTATTTTTTATTACCGCTGAAATTCTTTGGGGCATAGTGTTAACTAAGTTTTGGCAAAAATTTGGTGTAAAACAATCCCATATTTCTTGAAGCTTTTGTCTCAGTTCGGTGATTGTACGAGCAGGATGTTGTCGTAGAACCTATTTCATCTCATGCCACAAAATTTCAATAGGTGACAGATCTTGACAGCTAGAAACCCATTTCAAATGTGGTACATTATTTTCTTCCATCCATTTTATAGCCTTTTTTGAGGTATGGCACGCTGCACCATCTTGCTGAAACACAAAATTTTGGCCGGATGTCAATCATTCTTCCATCACTGGTAACAGCGGTTCTTCTAAAATTGCCACATATTTGTTTGTATCCACATTTCCATCAATAAAATGAAGTTTTCCTACTCCTTTTGATGACATACTGCCCCAGACCATAATGGATGCTGGAAATTTCACTCTTTTCAGACAGTCAACATGGAATGCTTCATTTTTTTGCGAATAACTCTACTGCGACTGTCACCATCACAAACTTCGAATCGGGCCTCATCACTCCATTGTTTTGCACACCGTTGTTGAGGTGTCCATTGTCTATGTTCTTGCCCATCTTAGCCGATTTTTCTTTTGCAGTGGAGTTAATAGTGGCTTTTCTTTCTCCTATAAACAAGTTGTGCAACTTTAGGGTTTTTACTTCACTTTTTTACTTTTACTTGCCATTGAATAAATTGAACAAGATGCCAGAGATAAGAGACTAAGCCTATACCATGCTTATGAGTAGCCAAGAAGCACGAAACAACTGTTTGGCTGTCTTTTTGGTCGGTCGGACGATGGTGTCTAGTTAAATTAATACAATGGCACGTCGACCACATCCACTCTCAGCCAGAATCGTCAGCCATCTAGCGGCACGGCTATTAAACGCCGGTGGCGCTTATTTTGATAAACCGTACCTCCGGTAGAGAAGATCGTTGTGATACTTTCTTTCGTTCGTCCAGAGATAAGAGACCAAGCCTATACCATGCTGATGAGTAGCCAAGAAGCACGAAACAGATATCCATGGTTGGCTGTCTTTTTGGTGGGATGGGCGAAGGCATCTTGTTCTATATGAACATGTTAATATGCAGTGATTTTTCTGTGTTGGTCCCATTTATTTCATTGTTGTTTCTCTCAACTTTCCGAATTTGAGAGGGGTCGGATAATCGGGTTACGTGAAGACGGATTTTCTTTTAGAGAAGTCGCCAATCGTGGATCGAATCGAAGCTGCTGTAATGGGATGTCGTCGTGGTTCCAAGAAGGCCGAAATCGACGAGTTGGAGGTACTGGACGTTAAAGACAGACTACAGAGCGACAGGATCGTTATTTGAGGCAACCAGTGGAGGAAGGGCAATAACAATTAGGACAGTTTATCGCCGAATAAGGTCTTTTGTACTACCTTTGACCACAAATATGGAATGGAACTCTGCGTGTTCAGCGATGAGTCCAGATTCTGTTTGGGCTCACATGATGGCCGTGCAATAGTAAGGACATGTGGTGAAAGACGGAACGTTCAATATTCCATTGAACGGCATATTCATCGCACTGTGGGTGTTATGGTATGGGGTGCCATTGCTTACGGCAGCAGGTCACGATTAGTGTTCATTCCGAGTAGCATGACTGCCCAGCGCTATATCCACGAAGTTTTACAACCACATCTGCTTCTCTCTTTGGAAACATTGGAAGATCCTCGTTTTCAGCAGGACAAGGTACGGCCTCATGTCGCACGTGTTAGTTTAGACTTTTTAGAAGCGTCCGGAGTAAATCTGATTCGGTGGCCTCCTCGATCTCCAGACATTTCCCCCATCGAACATGTATGGGACATGATGGGAAGAAGGTTGGAGGTTCTACGAAATCAAATTCAGATGGACTGGGATACAATACACCAAGAAGACATCAATCACCTAATCCAATCCAATATTAACATTAAGGTAGGGTATCTCAGCTATATTGCGGAATTTCGAGTTAAAATTTTAATCGCTTTCTATCTATCAGTAACCCTAAAACTTGTAAAAGTATGATGTATAGTAGTATAAGTGTATTCTTAGACTGCTTTAAAAATTATCAGCCTAGAAGATACAATAGTAAATAACACTAATTCATCAAAAAATTGAGAATATATTAGGTGTTTCACAGGGAAGGATACTGGGACTGGGACTTTTGAATACGTACAAAATTTTTAATACATTGGAGTTTTTGTTGATTCTCAATTAAATTTTGATATTCATTACGAGACAATTATAAACAAGATTGGTAGTAAAGTGGCATATTTATCAACAGTTTCTGGATGTCTGAATTCATATAGTAGAAACATTATCTATAATAGCACCATTTTTCCAAATTTCATGTACTGTTCCACTATTCTATATTTAGCTAATAATTCCACTTTTGAAAGACTACAAATTTTACAAAACAAGTGCATGACAATAAGACTAAATAAAGATAAATACACTCCAATTAGAAAAATGCTTAGCAAATTAAAATGGCTCAATGTGAAAATTTTTGTCAAATATGTATCTTGTGATATTCATTTATAAAGTGAAAAATAATCAAATGCCGAAGGTTGCTTACATGGTACCAGAAATGAAGATGGCTTCCATCGCCTTTATTGGAATTTCTGATTAAAGATCTATGTATTGTAAATTGCTTTACATTCCTTTTGTATATTATTAGGCTGATAATTTACACTCACGCACAAGGTGTGTACCTTCTGTGAGCGCTAGAACATTCATTTGCTAACATATTGTGTATTTTCATACTGTGTAAAATGGCAAATAAATATTATTATTATTATTATTATTATTATTATTATTATATGAAGCATTTGGCGAAGCAGGAGTCTGGATAAAATATAATTTATAACTTTAATGAACAAATATGCGCGCACAAGTTAGTACTCAAGATAATTCAAACTAACCAGAATCGCAGGTGCTATCCTGAATTGGAGCTACATGTTCCTCATCAGATATTGTATTTGATGTTCTTTGGGTCTGCCCACTCTTCTCTGACCGCTTTCCACCATCATCTAGATATAACAAGAACCACAAAATTAGCAATGAACAGGCTACTACAATAATTATTTTAAGTTTAAAAAACCCAGATGAAATTCTAAATGGTCATTTTTGGAACGACAAAGGAACGCTGAGACTCGACCTACTTTGAATTTGGAATGTGACATATCAACTATGTTTCTAATTAGATGTACTGGGTGTAATTCGGTTGCCGAAATTGAAATGTCAAAAACGATACGAGATACGAATGGAGATGAAGTGGCCGCATTATACGTTTTTAAAATCAGAATTGAAATCCCTACATCTGTGCAAAAAACAAATGAGACGTTCATGAGATAAAATAAAATTCATGATTGATAGTTATCAGTTAGAGACGAAACGTCATATTCAAAACTGCTAAGTATGCAGAGGAAGAAAGGTGGCAATTTATTATGAAATCCCATTTCAAATAAAGTAACGATTTTGGGAAAATACCTTTTACTTCCCACGATAACTGGCGAAAGTATTGTAATCACGAACATTTTTGAAATTGAAATACATATTACGTTTTTCGGACGTTATATGACATGTATATCACGAAAAACCATTATACTTATTTCAGTCGGTGTGTCTGTCGGTCTATTAATCTTATAACCGCCTATACCTTGAGTAGTATCACTTGAATTTCGACGAAATTTTTACAGTGCCAATGACGCAAAAGCTTTCCAGTTTTTGAAAATCGGTCCAGTGATAAGGTGCTAGGGCAAAAACACCAAAGGAGTAGAACTTGCTCAAACGTTTCTTCTGATTATTTTCTGATAAATTTTTGTAAGAGGATTCTGATCCCGGCAAGAACGGAAAAATGAAATTAAATTAAAAAAGTCCGATGTATAATGTGCTCATAATTTGAAATAACTTCGTAACCGTTGGCGCGATGATGTATCGTCGTGGAGGCCCCTGCCGGATGTGCAACGGGTAAAAAAACTCCAGCTGGTCTGTGGTGGTGTCGTTACTTACACACTGCTACAGTAGAAATATTTATATATTTCAGCAATATTTGGATATATCATTAGTACGTACCACTTTAGCGTTCTGCGATGCTTTTGTAAATGATGACTTCACTGTTTTTATATCTACACATATATTTTTCTGAATTTTATGACCTCTTAATATACCACCCATTTCATCTAACCCTTAATTTGTGTTACTCTGGCTACTGGCAAACCGTCATTAATGAGAAACACGACTTGTGTGATGCAGATATATTTAAACAACAGAAAACTGGTGGACGGGAGTTCTAATATTATCGCGGGTTTAATATCTGTCGTTTAGGTAGTCGTAGATTTTGAAAAGTGATTTAGAGGCGGCGGAAATAAATTCGCTGGAACATAGTGTTACAATGTTTCTAAGATGCCTGCTCATTTTCAGACATTGTTTGGAGGTGGTGGAAATTGTAGATTAGAAGCCGTATGCTGAAAATGGTGGCAAACTGTTGCATATTTGGTGTCAGTGAAAGACCTTCTATTCTTAAGAGGCTGCTGATCTCAGTGATACTATGCACCTGTTAGACATAATAAGTCACGCATATTTTTCCTACATCTGCCATGGAAACAGAAATACGATAGATTTGCTTTATATAGTCTGATGTGCAAAGGTCGAAGATTCATCGTACTTAAGTGATCCTACCTAATCATGATTCTATTTCGCCGTTTGAAATGATTTGACTAATCACTTATCTATGAAACCTCCAACGAAGGCGTAAGAAGAATAGAGTCAATCTACTTGACACCATTTTTTTTTGTCTTTTTGAATTCTGTTATCTTCTGATTTACTTGAATGGACATTTTTGCCCATATTTAACAGACTTCGTATCCCTTACCGTTTCCGAGATCTCGATCGAATTTAAAACGTCCTGTATAACGTACCTTGCAGTGTACTGTCCGCTGGGTGTTGCCTGGTTGTTCTTTGCGAAGCGGTAGAGTTATTATTACCAGTCAGCGTCCGCTGTAGACTGGGTTGCCTGCCCCCGCCAATCATTCTAGTCGTTCTATTGGTTCCGCTAAACATTTTGCTCTCTCGGTTTGCCACAGTTGTCAAATCTAGATGCAAGCATTCTTTAGGTATATCCTTGTTGATGGCCTTCAGATCTCTTTTGCTGCTCACTAGTAAGATGAGATGATCGAGCGACGTCTTAGGCGGCCTTCGTTCTCGACAGGATCTTCGGAAGACGGTCGTTTCAAACGGCTCGTCAGGAATGATACTGCCACCGCTGATGCCAACAGATCTTTTCGAGTTCATCTGCGGGGCCTTCCTATTTCGGCCCCTGCCTCTTTTCGTGGTATTTCCAGCACTGCAACCAGCATTCGTCTCCGAAAATCTTACTGTTTCCGATCCACCGCTGTTGGCACCGTTCACCGCATCGATGTCAGATTCGACGATGGCAGGAAGGACGTAACTTTGTTTTGCTGCGCTTTCGCGTTGATTTTCGTTTGTGGCAAAATCTAGTCGACGCGAGGCCGGTAAATGCTTGCCCGATTTGCTGCAGCTCGCCTCATCTATTCGTTCGGCAGAATCCGTCTGCATGCCGCCGACGGGGGTTTTTGAACATCTGTAAGTCACATATTATTCGTTAGTCATAATAGTTCAGTGAATTCATAACCACCGCTTTTGAGAACCAGCTTCAAATAGACTACATCTATACGGATTACACGAAAGCTTTCGACAGAGTAAATCTACAACAAGAACCAACCTACACATTGTCGTGTAAGTAGTAGTAGGTTACATCCGTATCCGGATGTGTGGGCATGTGTATCTACTCTTGTAGTTGCATATGTGCATTTATTTCGGGCCTGATGAAGCCAACCAGCAGAAATACGTATCGCTCGGGTTACCTATACTATTTTCTACTCGAATCCACTTTCCTACTTTTTGCTGATTTTGCCCATTATCTTCCTAGTTTTTGTTATATATACTCGTATATATATATACAGGGTGTTCCATAATTATTGCGACAAAATGATAGGGGTTCTAGAGGGCATCAAAATGAACAATTTTGCCTTATAAACCCCTGTTCGGAAATATGCCGTTTGGGATGCAGCAAAAAAAAGATCAGTTTCTTGAAACAGCTTACCTACAGTAATTGCTCAAAGTGTCCTCCACCTTGCTCAATACACAGCTGTGCACGATTGTTCAATGATCGGCGAACTCTGTGGCATACCCCCGGTTTGTCCTGAACATGTGCGGACGCGGCCATCACTCTTCCCAGTAGCTCTTGTTGGTTGGGAACAGTAGTTTCGTACACTAAAGCTTTCAGATGGCCCCAGAGAAAATAATCCAGTGGGGTCAGGTCGGGTGACCGCGCAGGCCAAGGCACAGGGCCACCTCGGCCGATCCACCTATTTGTCGTCCAAATACTGCCGCACTTGTAAAGAAAAGTGGGCTGGAGCGCCATCGTGTTGAAACCACGTGTTGGCTCTTATGTTCAGTGGCACATTTTCTAATAGTTCCGGTAGCACATGCTGTAAGAATCGACCATAAGCATGCTCATCCAAACGTGGTGGAAGCAAATATGGCCCGATGATATGCTCGTCCACAATGCCGCACCAGATGTTAATTGAAAACTATGTTGGTCTCTATGGATGGCTATGGCATGAGGGTTTTCTTCATCCCAAATGTGACTGTTACGGCTATTAAAATAACCTTCCTTTGTGAAATAGGACTCGTCAGTGAACAAAACGTAGCGACCAAAGTTTGGTTGCCTCAACTCCTGCTGCAGCCACCAACGACAAAAACGTCGACGCGGCACATAGTTTTCTGGACCCATGGCTTGGACTTTTAAAAGGTAGTATGGGTGTAGTTGCTGGTCATGGAGAACCCGCCAAGCAGTAGTTTGAGACGCTCCCATTTCATGTGCAATAGCACGCACGCTTGTACGCGGATTGGCCTCTAGTTTGACGCACCACTCAGATAAATTAAATGAATCGGTGTGGAGAATTTACGATAACAAAAATGTAAACACAGCAGGCTTTTTTTTACAAATCGGCGAGACCATGAAATGTGCTAGACGAACATTTTGCAGCTGTTGAATTTTTTGTTTCTCTTAAGGTAAAATTAGCGGTAGTGCTCAAACGGCATATTTACGAACAAGGGTTTATAAGGCAAAATTGCATATTTTTATGCCCTCTACAACCCCTATCATTTTGTCGCAATAATTATGGAACACCCTGTATATACAGGGTGACTTTGAAGTTGAGTCATTAATTTTCAGATAATGATTGTAGAAGGAAGATAAACCAAAATATGTGTGTAAAAATAAAAAAAAATTAAAAAAAAAATGTTACCTTGTTTTATAAAGTATCCTCCCGACAAGTATTTCAGTGCGGACCTGTGCGCCCAAAAGCATGTCACAAAAACTGTTCGAAATGATTTCCGTTTTGCTCGACGCACAGCTGGGCGCGTCTTAGCCATGTCTCTTTACAAGCACGCAATAAAATCACTGGTTGATTTCTGATCACTGTACTCATTTCCTCAATTCGAGCACGTAATTCTTCGCGTGTATTAACCGGTGTTTTATACACTAGAGTTTTTAGCCAACCCCACAAACAAAAGTCTAAAGGATTTAAGTCCGGAGACCTTGGCGGCCAAGGTACAAAACCGCCACGGCCGATCCAACGATTATTAAATTGTCTATTTAAAAATTCACGCACATTTCTTGCATAATGGGGTGGTGCCCCATCTTGTAAAAACCACATGTTTTGTCTAATATTTAAAGGCACATCTTCCAGTAAACCAGGCAAATTGTGTTGCAAGAAATCAAAATAATTTTCACCAGTTAAGCGATTTGGTAATTCAAAAGGCCCCACTAAAATTCCATTAACAATTCCCGCCCACAGGTTGATTGGTTCAAATCGCTGTTGAAAATTGGTTTCCCTTATTTCATGGGGATTTTCAATAGCCCAAACGTGAGAATTACGTGAATTAATAATTCCGTTTCTAGTAAAGAGGGCTTCATCACTCACTAAAATTTGATTTAAAAAATTGTCATCATTTTGATGTTTATTTAAAAGCCAATTGCAAAAGTCAACCCTTTGTTCATGATCTTCCGGTTGTAAGGCCTGCACTTTTTGTATGTGAAACGGATAGAACTGATTTTCACGTAGAGTTTTCCAAGTTTTATACTGACTAATCGCCAATTGAGTTGAAATTTGTCGGGTGCTTACTGTTGGATCATCACTTACTAATTCTAAAATTTGTTCTTCTAGTTCTATTTGATCGTGTGGTCTTGGAGCACCGGCATGATCTCCTCTGTGAGGTCTTAAGTCACCTGATTCACGAGCTCTTTGCACTACATTAACAAAGGCACGAGGGGTTGGTTGCACTCGATTGGGAAACCGATCCGCATAGATCCGTGATGCCGCGGCAGCATTTTGTAAAGACTCCCCGTAAATAAGAACCATGTCCACAAGTTCAGCATTTTCGTAAACATGTGCCATTTTTGATTTGAGCCTCGCAACAGACACGATTATTCACTTACGCGTTACCGACTACCGACTGATACTGACTGTATACAACTGACGAAAATAATTGTAAAAAGATCGTTCCAAATTCTTTCGCTTTTTTGTTTCCGATGCGATGAACGGATAAGGCGGATTATATCTGTTGTTGCCAAACACGAGAACATAATATCATTATTGAGACAGGGCGGTACTCAAACTTCCAAAGGGCTATAACTTTGTTACTTTAATTTTACCAGAAAAATGGTAAAGGAAAAAAACATTTCTTTTGATCAGATCTACTCACTGTTAAAATAAATGACTCAACTTCGAAGTCACCCTGTATATATATATATATATATATATATATATATATAAAAGTAATCTCAGATTTATATGTCGAGCTGGCAACGTTGCGGGATATTAATGTACAATCTGGCAACAATGTCGCACCCTCAAAAAATGGCCGCTGACAACAATGTTGCCATTGAATAGCATGGAATTAAACCTTCTTCAGTATATATTTTTTGTGGAGTGGCCTCTATGCGGCTGACGGCTGGAGCGGACGGCGGAGTCGAAGTAAATAGCGCGACATTATAATTCGCACGTAGTAAGACATAAATAGATAAATGTTCTATCTAGTTAAGTTAAAGTTAGTTATGTTGTACATAAATTAGAGCATTTCTTTTTGTGGAATCGAGTGTTGTAATTCACACTCAAAAGAACCGAGAAAAATGCTAGAATACTATTAAATTGTTTTTCCAAGGCCCGCTTTAAAAGATCCGATTTCGCCGCGTGAGTATTGTTTTATAGTCTCGCATGAGATAGTCCAACATGCGACCGACATAATAAACATTTTTTTTTGTTTTTGTTTATTACTGTAATTTAAATATATTGTCGATTAATGAAATGCGAAATGCTTTTGTCAATTAGTTGTTAATACCACGTAGCAACAAATTATCTTGGTTGTTTTTGTTTGTTATTTTGAATAAATAAAAATTAGTTCACAAATGCAACATTCTATAAATATATTTCGTTATATCGCTACAAATCCCTTACGTTGCAACAGAACAACGGCCAGCATCACATCACCATAGAAATCTGCTGAACCTGCATAGATTACTTCAGTGGTCCGATAGAGTTGAGATAGACTCTTAACGATACTCATGTTATTTCATTATACAGTTCGAGTATTGTATCTTTAAATTGTATCTTAAAAATCAAAATTAAAATTTTTCAAAAAGTAAAATTTCGAGTCGAAATTTAAGTACATGAAGAGGAATAGTTGTGATTAAACATGAAATAGGACATCCGGTAAATGTCCACCAACAAACTTCTGGCACAGCATCAGCCTTTTCTTAAAATTCTGGATACGTTTTTCGTCGATAACGTGTCGTCTTCTATAAGGCGTTAACTGTGTGTGGCTTGTTCGCATACACCGTTTCCTCCACATAGCCCCAGAGGAAAAAGTCCATTGGCGCTAGATCGCACGATCTTGGTGACCAATTTTGATCGCCAAACCGAGAGATGCCAAGGTCTAGAGACTTAGTCCGCAGTAACACCATTGTTTCGCGTGCTGTGTGGCAGGTCGCACCGTCTTGTTGGAAAAAACATATCCTCCACATCAATTCGATCCAACTGGGGCCACAAAAACTCGGTTAACATGTCGCGATACCGCACACCATTAACAGTTACCGCATTTCCAGCTGCATTTTCGAAGAAATACGGTCCAACCACTCCGCAGCATTATTACAGGAGGGTTTTCAGAACCCCAAATTCGGCAGTTATTGACGTACCCGTTCAGTTATATCAGAGAAAATGATTTTTTTCGAGAAATCCGCATCAATTTGGTGGTGCTCCAGCCGCACTGTGACTATACAGGTATTTTCGAGGGACTGACCAGGACGGCGACGAATAGTGGTCTTCACATTCAGCAACGTGAATTTTCTCTCAAAACGGCGAAGTGTCGACTCATTTGGCGCATTATTGCGACCGAAAATTGTACGTAATTTGCGAACTGTTTCGGCGTAATTTTCTTCATTTTTGTAGAGAGTTTTCACGTTGCTCGTTTAAATACTGCTCCATGACATGAGGGTCATCAAGTAAACACCATACCATTTGTACAAAAAATGGCGGCAAATTCAAATTCGGCGCTCTTGTCGAGACACAATTTATTTATATTTGTTTATTAGTTTTTCTCTAATCTTATATGTCTATTGTTTGTATATTTCTTTACTTATGATTTTTTAATTTAAAGTGAGATTTGATTGATGTTTCTATATTGCATGGTATGTGACCCTGTACATATTATATTGTACGGTTTTTAATTTTAATGTTTATAAGAATCTTGCAAATTTGTTTGCATCCTTAATCTAACATCTCTTGTAACTGTCGTTCACAGGTTTGACGTCATCAATGATGATCACTGGATAAAGGTGATACTGTAGTTGCATTTGGTGAAAATACCGTGCGTAATTACTGTTATTATTAATAGCGTATAAACGCGTTTAGTTTTTTCACTTACCCATCAGTACGTCGTTTTGAAGATGTTTGCGCGCCTTCATCTACAAGTAAAGAAACAGTCTCCTTTCTCCCAATCCCACCAGAACCGCCATCTTGCACCGTTTCCACCCGTGGACTTTCGGCGTAAAGTGCTGCATCCAGTTGCGCTATCCTCGCTTCGCGTTCCGATATATCGCCGATTCGATTTAATGAGACGTTTCCCTCATTTTGCCTTCCGTCATTTGAAGTGCGCGACCGCTGTCTGTTTTTCTCAACGGGCTCATTTTGCGACTTGGATCGTGTCCTTGGCGATTGAAGCTCTTCGCGATCTGAATTCAAAACAGACCGACGTTTTTGGCTGTCTACAGTTGCATCTGTACGTTGCGACCTTGAAGTAGACGGACGCTGTTGCGTTTCCTGTACTTGCTCGTTACGAACAGCTTTTAGTGGAGACTTAGGCGATTTGAGCTCTTGGCGTTCTTAAAAAAAATGTGTAAACACTATAATTCTTCCCCATTTTCATATTCAAATTAAAAAATCATTTATCACCACCAAATTTAGAAAACTTCACAAATAGTCTCTAATCATATTGGACGAAAATACCCCTGGTTTGCGAAATAATTGTAAAGTCTGATTTTATTGCAGCAAATTGTTCAAGGGGGTATTCAAAACATGGACGCATAAAATGGGTACACAAATTTTTGTGGGAAAACTTTTTATTTGACAACAAAGAATGAGAAAACGTGTCTTTTGGGATTCCATCGAAAGTGTTGACAGAAACAAAAAAAAACGAATACCTACAATAAAAAAAATACGACTAATAGCTAAAAAGTTATGGCCGAAAACCGAGGCAAACTGCAGGTGTTGGCACTTGTTGGTAATGCTATGATGGTTTCTCTCAGATACTTGAAATTCGTCAAATTCGTAGGATTCATACTTCTAAATAACCACAACAAAATTGGAGTAGATTGGTCAAGTAGTTTTTGAGAATGTGTAATTGATTATTCCAAAACACCTGTTTTCCGGCCATCACTACTAGTTTATTCAGCAATATACAAGGTTAGTTCAAAGGGCATTTTATAGCAAAATACACTAGTTTACCTTGCCGATATGATTGCGGTAGATAAATGTTATTTTCATGCAAAAAAGGATGGGTCACGTTTTTTCTTCTAAACAAATTCAAACATTTCGTATTTGTGAGTAATTCGCAACAAAAGATGATAAACACATCCGCTTTGTTTTAAAATATGTATAGTAACGTATGTTTTTGGAATTTATTCAATTACTCACAAATACGAAATGTTTGAATTTGTTTTGAAGAAAAAACGTAACCCTTCGTATTTCGAATAAAAATAACAATTATCTTTCGGAATGGCTTGTGATTCATGTCGGCAAGGTAAACACGTGTATTTTGCTATTAAATGCTCTTTGAACGAACCCTGTATATACAGGGTGGCGCATCGAAAACGAAACAGACGCATTTACTGGCAGCTCAGTTTTTTTTGTGAAAAACGCTCAGACCCGTCGATTTTGTTTTCGAGGGGGACACAAGTTTGGCAAAAAATCACATTAGCACGCGCAGCCCCCTAAGCGGGGGTGACACCACCCCCAAAATCTTAAATGGAAAGGGGGGTAGAGTGATACCTTATTTTAAAGGTCTTTCAATTCCCTTTATAATGATATAAAATGTACTTGAATTCAGCAGTTTTGAAGATTTATTCATTTAAAGTTTAAATAAAACTAATACATCAGCATTAGTGGAGATCAATACATTTGGCAGCAAAGTAACTTAAAATGAAGAATGAACTGACCCGTTAGGCAATTAAATGTTGAAAATGGCTACCACGATGCAATAATAAAGATTTTGCTCAAAACGTTGCCGCACATTTTGCAATATTTGAGGAGTAATTCGAAGGCACTCATTCACAATTCTTTGTCGAAGGTCTTCTAATGAAGTTGGCTTAGCATAGATTGTGCTTTTTAAATGACCCCACATAAAGATATCCAAAGTTGATAAATCTGCCGATCTTGGGGGCCATTCAATGGCACCTCTTCTACCAATCCATTGATCTGGAAACGTCTGATCTAAATATTGTCGAACACGTAATGCGTAATGTGGTGGGGCACCATCCTGTTGGAACATCAACCTATTCGCAATGTACCGCCAATCATTCTGATTTTCAATTATGGCTGTTAATGCAGGATCTATGGCGTCTTCCAGTAATTCCAAATACATTTCATCGGTCAAATTTACAGGTAAGAAAAAAGGAATAACTAAATGATCGCCAAAAATAACAACCCAAACATTTAATTTTTGTGGCTGCTGTGTATGAACCTCATAATAAATTCTGGGATTAGAATCGGACCAATATCGGCAGTTATGACGATTTACTACGCCATTCAAGAAAAAGGAACATTCGTCGGAAAAGTAAGTGTTGAATAGAAAATGTTCATCTCTTATAATTCGTTTACTCATCTCTTCACAAAATTGTAATCGCCGATCAAAATCGTCTTCATTAAGTTCTTGTACCAGGTAAATTTTATACGGATGAAAACTGTGAGCCTTTAGAATCCGTTGGACAGTACGTCGACTAACACCACACACAGTCTCCAATTTGCGGGTACTTAATGTGGGATTTTCAATGTTGCGTTTTTTATTGGCGACTGACCCAGTTTCTCGAAATTTAGCTACAAGTTCTAGAACATATTTTCGATGGACGTTACTGTTCTCATGTCGCTCATTAAATATTTCTGCTGTGGAATGTACCATGGTTAATTTATGTAATAAAGCGTTACAAGTTATTTTAGCAACAAAGTTTGGTCAAATCAATCGCAAACTATGTACTAAATTCCTATTTAAAATAAGTACGAGATATTTCCTTATCTTTCTTCAAGAAATAACTTTTTTGCCACAAAAAAAAACGCTCCAATAGCTATTTTCAACAACAAAATGATAAACAAACCATGAGCGTAGTGAAGAAAAGCATTTACTTATTAAGGAAAGTCTTTTAGTCAAATTTCTTCTGAAAGTAGTACAAATTAATCTGGTGTACCTATTAAAGTCTACTTTAAGCTTTAAATCAATAAATCTTCAAAACTACTTAACTGAAGCTCATGTATTTTACATCATTATAAAGGGAATTGAAAGACCTTTAAAATAAGGTATCACTCGACCCCACTTTCCAGTTAAGATTTTGGGGGTGGTGACGCCCCCGCTTAGGGGGCTGCACGTGTTAACGTGATTTTTTGCCAAACTTGTGTCCCCCTCAAAAACAAAACTGTGCTGCCAGTAAATGCGTCTGTTTCGTTTTCGATGCGCCACCCTGTATAATAAAACTAGTCGTGATTGGGATAAACAATTAGAAATTCTAAAAAAAAACTACTTGACCAATATACAAAAATTTTGTTGTTATTTAGAACTATGAATCCTACGGATTTGAAGAATTTTAAGTAGTTGCGTGGAATTATCGTCGCATTACCAACAAGTGCCAAAACTGCATTTTGCCTCGTTTTTCGGCTATAACATTTTTGCTATTAGTCGGATCTTTTCAGGTGTGGTCTCATTTTGTAGGTATCATATATATATATATATATATATATATATATATATATATATATATAATACCTAAAAATCTTATATGAAAAGTTTTTTCGTTGCTCTCAACACTTCAGATTGAATCCCAAAAAACACGTTTTCTGATTTTTTCTTGTCGAATAAAAAGTTTCCCACAAAAATTGGTGCACCCATTTTATGCGTCCATGTTTAAAAGACCCCCTTAAACACTTGCACCAATGAAACCAGACTTTACAATTATGTCGGGTAAATTTGCTAATTAGACTAAACATGCCATAACTATGAGCTAGTGGCAGTTTAGATTTTCATCTACAAAATTGTAATTGTATTTCAGAAGGGAGTATATGAATTTAATAAATTCAATAATAATATTAAACAGTGTTCGAACTTAAAAATGTTTAAGGTAAAATTAAAAAAATTAAACTTTATGAATAAACAAATTCACAGTGATGTAATTTTAATAGACCAGAATGTGTAAACGAATAATTATCCAAAATTGACGCATTAATGCTAAATAAATCATCAACAAGCAAACAATGCTAAAATAAGAAAAAATACATACCAATTAAGAGTTCCTTTTTCTGATACACTTTTGATGCCTTCTGAGCAGCTTTCCTTTTAACCGATGGAGGTTTGACTGGTGTTAGGCTGATTTTTTTATCAGATTTCAACCACGACTGTTACAAAAAGAGCATTTCAGAAATTGTTAAAACTTGACTGTCTACAGAACAGAATATTTTGTGGTAAACAGTTCTTTCATTTATGAGATCTTATGAATAAAGAACTGGTCGTACGCGGTAGATGATCTAGAAGGTCAGAATGTGACAGCCATCACAAAATTTGTTGACACATTGGCAGGAAAATTCAGAAAATAGCTTTTCAACTTGGGATATTTTGCTATAGGAGCACAATATTTTGTGAAAAAGCAAACAGTAAAATGCGTCCTTTATCACTTGGATGTCAATAACGCTAGTAACATCATTATCCAAACAAAATGACATGAACCAGAAACGCACTATACAGGATGTTTCACAACTTATTCGACCAATTTTAACCACATATGCACTGTTACGAAATAAGTTGATTCCTAAAAAAAAAAATGTAATAAAAGTTATTATATAAACCTGAGTTTCAATAATAAATTGAAAAATAAATATCTGTATTTTGCGTTCATCGTCTTGATATTAGAACACGCATTAATAATTTATTGTAGCAAATGTTGTACCTAACAAATACCAGGAATTTTTTGTTTTTTCATACTGATAAGAACGTGTAAATTAGGTTTGATCTGTATCGTTTGTGATCTGAATGAAGAACGGATTTTTGTGAAGTTAAATAACAAGTATTTTGCGAGTTTATGTTTTTAGTTATTTATTAATAAAAATGCTACATGTGTACACCAATCAGGAGTTAGTGGGCATTGTTTTAGAGTACGGAGAAGCAGGGCAAAATTCGCGAGCGGCTTCTCGTTTGTATGCACACCGATTTCCGAATAGGCACATACCACATCATGAAACATTTAGTTCAATTGTTTTACGTGCACGTGCAGTCCTTTGATTCTGCATAATAAAACTAACAGAAATCAAAAGGACCATACAAAAGATCCTGGAACAATGAAAAAGAAAACTGAATCACCAACAAGGAATATGGAATTCCAGATACAAACACCAGAAGAAACACACTGGTCAATAAGCCCACAGCAAACAAAAGTGTTGATTACTGGTACAAATTTGCAGGCGGTGCTGGCTGAAAGTCTTAAAAAGGACCTTGATGCTGACGAGCTCAGAGGGCATCTTATGGAGAAGCATCACACTGAAAATATACTATGCTCTAAGATTAATATGTATCTCCTACGTTTAGTTTGTTCAATCTAAAACGAAAAACCTACTAGGGGACTACAGGGTGATTCTGCGCATACAAGGGTTGACACCTTAAAACAGAAAAAAGTCGCAGAACCCAAACGAAGAATTGTGCCACGAACAAATATACATATGTTGTATAGGCCTATAGGAGTATATCTTTATGGCATAGCTTTCCGAAAAATTTGGGGAACTACAGGGTGATTCTGCGAATACAACCCTAACGAAGAATTGTGCCAGATGTACTGCTATGAAGTCTATATAACATAATGAGTTTGTTGGTGGCACAATTCGTTGTTTGGGTTATGCGATTATTTTCTGTTTTAAGCACTGAAGCCTTGTATGCGAGTCACCCTGTAGTCCCCTGATGTTTAGCAAATAAAGTTAATGTTAATGAGGGATACTTGCCCTTGCCATGTATCTTACACTTTACTACATATTCAAGAAAACTCGAATTGCTACACAATCCAATCAGAAATCCACCACTATGAAACAGGACTGGAGCTGGAGCCCTGAGACTGCCACGATATAAATTAGATATGTCTGCGAGAAATTCGTTAAATCTGAAACTACCTCGGAACATCTGCGAGCTGAATTAAGAGGGATGTCTTTTAAGTTTTGCATATAGAAACATAGTAGGCCGCGCGGATCGAACGTCAGTACTGAATCTTAACCTCACTCTTTAGTAAACTTAAATTCAAAGTTTCACAATAATACGTGCAGTGTGTTCTCACTACAGTGAATTTTTAAAGTGTCACCAAGTCATTAGAAAAATGGAACTCAACCGAGAACATTTTCGCGCCATAATTTATTACAACTTTCACAGACAATTATTGCAACAAGAATGCCTTGCTGAGTTACTGTCTGTTTTCGGCAACGAAACGCCACATTAGTCGACAATTTCCCGTTGGTATGAAGAATTCAAACGTGTAGGGGTGAGTCTTAAAGACGATCCCAGGGTGGGTGCACCAAAAACGGCAGTCACCTACGAAAACGTCGCAAGATTGAGGCGTCCTCGAAGATCTCAAAGATCTCAATTCAAAAAAATTTACATGAAGAATTAGGAGTAAGAAAATTAGTTTCTCGTTGGATACCCCATTTGTTGACTGAAGAGCAGAAAGCAGCCAGGGTTAATTGGTGTCAAAAAACGCTTGACCGTTTCAATTCTGAAAAAATGTGTACAGCATTGTTAGTGGTGATGAATCGTGGATTTACTGTTATGAACCAGAAACTAAACGACAGTCAGCTGTTTGGGTGTTCTAATGTGAAGAAAAGCCAACAAAAGTCATCCGTGTTTCGAAAAAGATGGTCGCGCCATTTGTGTCAAAAGCGGGTCATATTGCAACATTGGACCATCCATATAGTCTCGATCTAAGTCCTAACGATTTCTTTACTTTCCCGAAAATTAAAAACAGACTGCGTGGTCAAAGGTTCCAGTCACCAGAAGAAGCAGTTGACGCATTCAAAAATGCCGTTTTGGATCTGCCAGCAAACGAGTGGAATAAGTGCTTCGAAAATTGGTTCGAGCGCATGCAGATGTGTATTAATCTTCGTGGAGAATACTTCGAAAAACAATAAAGTCATTTAAAACTACCTACCTTGTTGTTTTATTTCTATATGCGAAACTTAGACATCCCTCGTATAGGAAATTCAAAAAACGAATGAAGTGCATCCTCCTCGAACAATATTCCTACTCTGTTGAGGAATTTTTTGGTTACACTTTTACTTTCTTTTGTGATGTCATAACTTATGTGCCCTCTTTTTTTAATGTAAATGTATGATTTTCTTTTATTCTATGGTTTCTGTATCCAACGATTTGTGGTATATATACTTCGAAGTTGAGTCATTTATTTTAACAGTGAGTAGATCTGATCAAAAGAAATGTTTTTTTCCTTTACCATTTTTCTGGTAAAATTAAAGTAACAAAGTTATAGCCCTTTGGAAGTTTGAGTACCGCCCTGTCTCAATAATAATATTACATATGTGCTCGTGTTTGGCGACAACGGATATAATTCGCCTTATCGGTTCATCGCATCGGAAACAAAAAAGCGAAAGAATTTGGAACGATGTTTTTACAATTATTTCATTCAGTTGTATACAGTCAGTGTCAGTCGGTAGTGGATAGTGGTGTCTGTTGCGTGGCTCAAACGAAATAAAAAATGGCACATGTTTATGCGGATCGGTTTCCCAATCGAGTGCAACCAACCCATCGTGCCTTTGTTAATGTAGTACAACGGGTTCGTGAATCATTTGACTTAAGACCTCACATACGGACGGCATGCCGGTGCTCCAAGACCTCACGATCAAATACAGGTCCGCACTGAAATACTTGTCGGGAGGATACTTTATAAAACAAGGTAAAATTTTTTTTTTTAATTTTTTTTTATTTTTACACATATTTTGGTTTATCTTCCTTCTACAATCATTATCTGAAAATTAATGACTCAACTTCAAAGTCACCCTGTATATATATCATTTATACAACATGACCAATAAATAAACTCTCACCTGATCAGAATCCGCGGATGAACCGCAGTCAGCGGTGGTTGAACTTGGCAACATGCCCACCTCCTTGCGAAAAGGGAATCCCATTTTGAGAGTAACGCCCAAAGACAAGTTTTCCGGGGCTGTCGGTAGATCTTCACCCCTCCAATGACCATCAGGGGTCTCCACTAAAGTATCTTCGTCGTCGGAGCTAAACGATATGCCGCCTTCGTCCCAGAAGAATTGATTCTTATCTTGCTGATCTGGTGTCTCGAATAGACGAGGAGAACTAAAATTTAATTTAACGCGTGATTCACTCTTAAAAGCATATATATATATATATATATATATATATATATATATACAGATTCCGATAGTTAGGTCCTCCACTTATTGGCTTTTTAGAGTCGATAGGTCCTCCGTATAAATTTCACCAGTCGGCCTGAGGGGCTCCCCTTTGTCACCTGGCAAAATTCCAGAGGGATGAGCCAAATCGTGTTTTTTGCTAAATTTGGGTACCGTAGTTCCGGGCTTTGCCGCGCCGATTTGGTGGACTCACAGTCGCGCGGGTATTTAGCCCGTATACTTTCAATCAAGTCTACAGTGGATAGGTCATCTGCCGGGTATTCAGTATCTAGATTGTCGCCTTTAGGTCCTCCTTAATATTGGCATCGCAGTATTAGGCATTATTTTGCAAGAGGATTGGATTTTCATCTTCCTATGTCTGCAACCGCCCAGTTCGCCGTCAAGTATTACACACGAGCGGCCGTGACCGGGAGTACCGTAATGCAGCGATGATATTGTTCGAATGTAATGCTCAAATCCAATATTCTATGGAATAAGATAAAAGATGTTATTTTTGTTTTACGATTTAAGACAGATGCCTTTACTTACCGCGCCTATTGACAGGAATTATTGTAATAATAAAAAAATCTGCTTTAGGTTGCTGTTATGCCATGCACAAAGAACCTTGAATATTCTCGGAAATCGGTGGAGTAACAGCAGAGTGGTTAACAAACGAAGAAAAAAATGGTCAAAGTTCGCTTCCGGATGTTTCAGACATTCCTCCAAGAAAATTTTAGGGCTGTAAATTTTGGTGGCGGGGGTTACGGGCGGCGGAGCTAGTATTAAACAACGATAAAACTAAAAATCGTTTAAAGAAGTTCTGAATACTTTAGAGCTTCCTAATCATTTTCCAAATAATTTTTGGGGGTAGGGGGGCTGAGGGAATGAGGTGAATCTGGATTTGGCTAGGTGTTAGTTAAAGGTATTCTATTATCAATAAACCTTCAGATCGACTTCCTGAACATCAATCACCCCGCTTCAGAGGTATTCTTTTCGGTGATTTCAATGCCTATAATGAGCTTTGGTTGGGCTCAAACACGACCGATGCAGCAAGTCGTGCAGTCGAAGCGTTCGCTCTTACTCAAGGGCTGACCCAGCTGATGACGAGCCTTACTTGTTTCCCCTGCGTCTCGTGACACGCCAGTAGCCTGCTGGATCTCTTTCTGACCAATCATCCTGTCCCTGCTGTTCTGTCCCCCCTGGGTAACTGAGACCACGGTGTTGTGGAGGTTAGATTTCGGTCACAACCCGCTGTGGCAGCAGAAACTCGTACAGGCCGCAAAACTTAGCATTACGGACATGCCGACTGGGAGGGGCTCAGAGACTTCTTCTCTAACTTTCCTTGGAGAGATGTTTGTTTCACTGACACGGATGCGTCGGCTGTCTGTTCTTCGATAACAGAAATTATCCATGTCAGAATGGAGGAATACATCCCTCACACAGTGAAGGTGCCAAAACCAGGGTCCAACGGCTGGTTTAACAAGTCGTGTGTCATTGCTCGCCAGCAGAAGATCAAGGCACACAGAACCTTCTTACAAAACCCCACTGTAGAGAACAGACAAGCCGACGTCGAGTCCAGAAACAAATATAACGAAGCGGTTCGCAATGCCAAAAACCAGCACGATATAAAAGTTAGGCACAGGGTGATGTCGCGGCGCAATGGCAGTCGGTCTTTCTGGACGCTGGCCAGGCAGATTGAAAAGAACTTCTCACACAGCAGTAGCCTTCCACCACTTACGTGTTAGGATGGAACTATTGTATTCGACTCAAAGGTCAAATATATTTGCTGAAAACTCCACCATGGACGTCCCCCAACGCCCAAGTGTCGTCAATTCAAAGGGTTCCATGCACTATGAGGGAGGTTACATTCAGGCATGAGACCGTAAGACGAGTGCTCTTGTCGCTCGATATCAAAGCTTCCGGCCCGGACTTGATTCCTGCCATTGTACTGAAGAGGTGTGCAGCGCAGCTTGCTCCAGTTCTTTCGTGTCTCTTCCAGATTTATTATGAATCCGGCACCTTCCCAGAAAACCGGCACCAATCCACAGGAGACCTCCTAGCTTATGTCACGCAATTGTGGAGTAAACTCAACCAGTCTTATGGTGAGGCTCATGTCGTTGCTCTTGACATCACGAAAGTATGACAATGTTCGCACTTAACAAAATAATGTCATTAAAATTCAAATATTCGTTGAGTCATGACATCAGCTTTTCAACCCGTAAATCATTTACGAATCGCTTTCCACAGAAAAATTTCTTAACGTTTGGGAAAGTTAGAAATCTGATATGGCGCATTTTCGAGTAAATGGATTAGTTCAGAATGCCATACCATACAGCCCTAACAACGCACCAATCGACATTTTTTTATTTATTTTATTTTTGACAAAAAAATTTAAACATTTCTTAGTGAAAGGAGATTCGAATGATGCATGAATAAATGGTGAATCTGATTATATTGTTGAGTAGAAAAATGGTTATATTTTATAGCTTGTGATACAATTTATGTTCATAATTAACTTTTACTTTATTGAACGATGTAATAATTTAGTATAACTCGCGATTAGGTCATCGCATTCAGCCCTTTTTGAGGACCTTTTAGCCTAAATGTCATTTTGAAAGTGAGCTAAGACTAAATTTCTGTGATCTTTAGTTCAAGGAACTAGAACTCTGGTATTTTTCTTCGGAAAAATTATATCCACTTGCTGAGATTCCGGATCTGGATACGGTCCTTGGATATCTTCATATTGATATGGAGGTTCTGGGTGATTATTATCTTGCTGTGCTTCTGATATCAAATTCTCGTCCATATGCAAATTAGCGATTTTCTTTTGTAAATGACCGGCCTCGCCCTTCTCCATCAACGTCAGATTCTTGGAGAGTCTAGCCGTTTGGTAGACGTCATCTGGTAATCGATATGATGCACGGTGGTTACCAAGTGTATGTCCCATAAAAGATGCTAGTGGTTCCATGTCATTTTTTGACAACTGGGTCAATGATGTCAAGTGCTTTCTCAGACGTGTGCTAGTCAGGGCAAGCGGATTTTTTGTTTGGCACACTCTTGATGGGCCATGTATCATACGGCTTTTGGTTGGCGTGTCTATATAGTTAATTCTGAGATATTAGAAAAAATTAAGTGATAGGAAATAATAGATTCTTTTTTATGTTTGTTGGGGGTCTCCGATCATTTTCTGTCATGTTCAGTTTTTCTTTTTGTGAAACTCAAAAACGGTTTTTGGTTTTTGCTATTTATCAACCCAACCAGTCGTAAACAGCACCGTTTATCATCGTTAGGATGTCGTCGATACGACATAGGCTATCGGAGATAGACGGAAAGCAAAGTGCTCCGTAGAACATACAACCTCTCGGACATATGATAGAAAAAGGTATCCTTGATTTTGTGGGCTGCTCGATGCTCCGATAAGTTCAGGGCATAGTCAAAGCATTTTTTGCATGAGTTACAAATTTACGAAACAAGTTGGACATCCTTCTTTCGCATGCTAGAGATGTTTTGTATAGTCTAAATCGAGTAATTAGTGTACTTAATGTTGCTGAATGGAGATCCTTGGAAGGTAATAGAATAATACAAGCCCGAGTTAGGAGACTTCAATTATTGTATTATCTTAAGAGAAATAACTGAAACTTGGCACCACTGCACGGAGGACTTATCCACTGGTGTTTAGATAATTTGAGTATTTTAATTAACTTTGATATATATTCAGTCTTTCTGGTAGGTGACTTATTGCTGGTTTATGAAAGGAGGACCTATCCACGCGGAGATGTAAATATATATACATATACAAGGGTGGCCCATCCATGTGTGGCCGGAATATTACTCATAAATACATTCTGTGAAAATCTATTTATGGGATGTTATACACGACATTTGAGGGGACATTTCTGAAATATTGGCCATTATACAGGGTATCCCAATTTCGACCTACATATCAAATCCGCTACTGTAAGTGATCGAAGAAACTGATCCGGCGATTTTTAGTGGAAGAATCGTCTCACTACTTAATTTACAGACCTCGTACATACATGAATACAGGTCAGGCTCGTAAAACCGGGTTAAAAAAATCCATCATTACCTTCTGCAATGTGCGTCGTCTCTAGCTGACTTTTCATCGGTGCTCCTATAATACTTCCTCAGCAAGTAACTATCGATGCTGCTGAAGCTGTTGGAAGAACTCTCGGTGCAGATCGTTTCATCGGAACCAGCGAGCGATGACACATTCCGCCTATCCGCACCTTCTTCGGGTGCCAATTTTTTGCCCTTGAATTGGCCGAGACTCAAACGCTTTAAAGACGTGAACCCTCCGCTGGTCAGGCGGTTTGAACTGGTTTTGCTTCTATTTCGTTGAGTGCTACGGCTGTTCTTACTACTGCTCTTGTTAGCAAGCATGTCAACCAGTCTGGAATTATGAATATGAGGATCAATATTACCTTGATTGGTATTTTCCACCAAAGATATCAAATTAAAAGCCGTGCTTGCGCGATAATAACGTAAATTGAGGCCCCCAACTTCTCACTGAGAAAGTTTGGAAATATTGTGGGGTGATCTTCCCTGAGAAAATTAGTGCCATGTTTAAGAATAAACAAGATACTTTAGAACGAATATGGTATCTGTTTTTATTACTTGAAAGGAAGCTGTATAGATGAAATTCACCAACTTGTTCACACACCTTATTTAGATTCTTCTGTTTCCCAGAAAATCTGAATGACACAATAAATCCGATTCAATTTTTTTTCCTTTACTTCCTATGCCAAAACTGGCGAGGAAGTATTGTAATCGCGAACAATTTCGAAATTAAATGATAAAATTACGATGTAGAATGTGCTCATAATTAGAAATAACTTAGCAATCGTGGACGTTGCGTGCATGGCGCGATGCTGTATCGTCGTGGATACCACCTGCGACTGTGCAAAGGGTAACAAGCTCCAACTGGTCTGCGGTGGTGTTTTCAGTGACACACCGCTACAGGAGAAATATATATTTTCACAATATTTGGATTTTAGGAGAACGTACCACTTCACCGTTCTGTGATGCTTTTGTAAATTATGACTTAACTGTTTATATCAACACACACACACACATACATTGTAATATATATATATATATATATATATATATATATGTAGATTCTGATGGATCGGTCCTCCACTCATGGGCTTTTTAGAGTCGATAGGTCCTCCGCTCTGATAGGTCCTCCGTATAAGGAGGACCTATCGCAAATTCCACCTATCGGCCCCTCAGGCCCCCCTCTGTCACCTGGCAAAATTTCAGAGGGATGACCTAGATCATGTTTTTCGCCGAATTTGGGTACCGTAGTTCAGGGTTTTGCCGCGCCGATTTGGTGGACTCACGATCGCTTGGGTATTCAGCCCGTATATTATCAAATATTACCAGTCAGGTCTACAGTGGATCGGTCATCTGCCGGGTATTCAGTATCCAGATTATCGCTTTTAGATCCTCCTTAATATTGGCATCGCTGTATTAGGTATTTTATTATATTTGCTGTGTTAGAGGATCGGCTTTTCACCTTTCTATGTCTGGTGCGGCCCAGTTCGCCGTCAGGCATTATAATAGGGGCGTCCGTGACCGAGAGTACCGTAATGCAGCAATAATATATTTGTTCGATTACTATCATTATTAATATAATTATGATTACGATTATGGTTGTGATTATGATTATGATTACGATTATTATTACTAGTTTTCGGAAAAAAATGTTTTTCCAATCAGGTTTTAGACTCATAACAAGTCGATTTGACATAAGTCACCTCTATGCAAAAGTGCTTCGTTTATTTGCCAACTAGATTTTTACGCTTGATGTGTTAAAACATTTTTTTAGAAACCAGCCCCAAAAAAGGTTTTTTTTTCTCGAAAACTATGAAAGATATCTCGTTTTAATGAGAGACAAAGGATGGAATAAATAAAAAAATCGGTCATGAGGAAAGTTGGGAAAAATTCTGCTACAATTTATGTAGGTGTGGGGGTAGTTTTCACCCTTCCAAAAAGCTCTGGAGTTTTTCGTAAAAGGCAAATATTAGAACGCTGAGCAGAGCATATGTGTTCCAAATTTCATTAAAATCGACCTACCGGCTTTTGAAATATCTTGGAAAACGTGTTTTTAAAAGAAAACTTTGATGCCCCCTAACGAAGCACCTTCGAATACAGATAACTTATGTGCAATCGACTTGTTCTCAGTCTGAAAATAACTAGTAATCTCACGTCCATGGAATATTGGGTCACGATGTGTACAATACATGATTATATGAACAAAGAGCAAAGTTTAGCGTAAAGCTACTCAAGCTAAATTAAAAAGGGTAATATAGATAGACCATTATGCAAATACAACCACATGAATAGAAAATCAAGGATGGTGTAGTATTAAGGAAAAATGTTCACAAAAAAACACTCTCAAATATGATAAAGGTGATGCTCAAATCCAATTTCCTATAGAATAAAATAAAAACAAATATGCTAATCCTAGTTTTACAATTTAAAAAATATGCTTTTACTTACCGCGCCTATTGGCAGGGAATTAATGTAATCACAAAAAATTCGCTTTAGCTGCAGTGGTTGCAGAGTGGTCAACAAACGAAGAGAAAATTGCATAAACTTCGCTTTCGGACAATGACCTACATTTTTCAACATTTTGTGCTTTGACAACCACGCGGTTATAGGAGCGAAGGATAAACGCAAATAATATCGGTATGAATTTTATTTACGAAAATACATAAGAAGAAAACTGAATTTATACATTGACAAAATGAAACTACTAAAAAATGCTTATACTTAGTTTGTGATACATATGTTCATACTTAATTTCTACTTTATTAAAAAAACGGGTTCGCTCATAAATTGAGATGGTATTCATTTTTTCTTTCGGTACTGGTTCTGGATGAAAACTTTGATTTTTAGCCAGTCCTTATTATGTAATAATTCAGTATGACTTGCGATGAGGTTATCGCATTCAGCCTTTTTTGGGGCCCTCTTAGATTTAATGTGATTTCCAAAGTGAACCAAGACTAAATTTTTCTGATCTTCAGTCCAAGGAACTAGAACCCTGGACTTTTTCTTTGGTAACGTTATATCCACTTGCTGAGATTCCGGATCTGGATGCGGTTCTTGGATATCTTCATATTGGCATAGAGGCTCTGGGTGGTTATCATCCTGCTGCGCTTCTGATATCAAATTCTCGTCTAGATTCAAATTAATTTCGTCCAGGGATTTTCCTTTGAAATGACCTGCCTCGCCCTTCTCCATCAACGTCAAAATCTTGGAGAGTCTAGCCGTTTGGTAGACGTCATCTGGTAATCGGTATGATGCACGGTGGATACCTAGTGTATGTCCCATAAAAGATGCGAGTTGTTCCATGTCATTTTCTGACATGTTGAACAATTGAGTCAAGGTTGCCAAGTGCTTTCTCAGACGGGTGCTAGTCAGAGCATGCGGATTTTTCGCTTGACATAACGACGCATACTTTTTGATTACCTTGTAACCAATAATGGGTTCTTGGGAGTTAGGTTTACCGAAAAGATATATGTTCGACACCGTCTGAATATTATCTCTACACTCTAGTATTAGATTCAAGTGATCCTGTACATCCTTGCTTATAAGAACTGGAACACCTCTGCCTCTTTTTCCACGGATTACTATTCGTTTGAAAGATCTCATTAGAATTCTCTCGGTTTCTGTTATTGCTTCTGAAAACTCCTCATAGGCTTGATTGTGTTCCTCAGATATAGCGGATTTGTAAACATGTATGGGAAGTCGTTGTAGTTCTCCAGGCCGCCTCCTATTTAATAAAAGCAACCTACAATAAACTGTCTCGAGTAAAGACGTGTATGCTTTTTCATTGCTTGGATTTTTTTGTAGCATTGATACCTGATTTGCAGCTACTTTCATGAGGTAATCCTTCAATAGTTTGAGATCAGTAGCTAACGGTACCAAAGTGACCTTATTCCATTTTTTTAGGTTGAGGTCATTAGCAGCATTGGTTGAAATATCGAATCGCCAATTTGCCTCTATGAGTTGGATGCATGTTTTTATATCTGCCTCAACGTTTGCATTATCTACTGTTGGCAGTGACTTAGATTTTTTTAGAACGTGTAAAAGAGCCACATCGCAACATTGTTTTAAGGTTGTACCCATGTTCATAGCATATGTGGGGGATTTATAAGTTTGGCTTTCGTCATCATATCCTGATGTTAATTTAGTTGCTTTCACAAGTATGTCATATTTGTGTGGTTTTAGAGCATCAAATAGGGTAACCACAGACAAATCTAATTTTTTTATCTCCATTAGAAGTCGAGCCAATTCTCTCATTTTCCTAGAAACGACTTGGACAAAATGTAGCTCCCTATGGAGTTTCAGATATCGGGAAGCAAACGCACATATTAATTTATCATTTTTCGCAACCAATGAAACTTTGTCAGGTCTCATGCGAGGAAATACTTTTACTTTGAGCTCAATATCTACCTTTATATTACCCAATAACAGAGTTTGTCCTAAAGCCTGTGATCGTTTGCCCGACGATCCCTTCTCCGGGTTTGCATCACATTGTTTGCGATGACGCCATAAGTTCTTTGCAGAATAGTAACCCATACAGTGGATGCATGGAAGATATTCCGTTTTTTCCGCACCTTTTCTAACAGGTTTTATCCCCTCTCCCCTCAAAGGCGTAGAGTTGATAAATTTACCCTTTTTCCTTAGAGCAAAAAGCAGTTGTTGCCTTTTACGGCTTAAAACAGGTAAAGCTAGAAATTCTTGTACCTCAATTTCATTCGTATGGTTTCTTTTCAAATGACGTGGAAAATGAAAAACCTCACATTCACAAAAACAACAGAAAACTGTAACTTTTTTCTTCTTTCCTGACAGTCCAGTATTCACTGATGAAGAACCAGACTGACTGGGTGCAGACTGATCACATTCTGCGGTGGGAATTGATTCAGCTTTTGCATGTATAGTAACATTCTTCTTGACACTTGCCGAATGTAAGTTGTCTCTGGCCTCATCGCTCCTGTCCAGTTCCTCGTCCTTTCAAAAGAAAAATAAATATAAATACAATAAATGCATAAGCATCGCGACAGGTGGACAGTACTTATACTTATCATTGGAGGCGTATCAAATGAAATGTTCAGTGAATAGTGTTAGTATTGACGTTCAATTTTGTATGTTGTTTCATTGATCAATTCATAAAATATCATGCCGTCTATGCTAAGGAATGACCATTGTTTTTCAACCACATTTCCCTCTTTCGTCTCTGGCCTTCTCTCACTTGCCAAGCAATAAGCGGAGAACCTTATCCTGAGCAAAGTTGTTCCAGTAAAAATAGATTTTATTATACCTATTTGGAAAAATGGCATCAAGCAGGCTGACTCTATACTTCCTACGCCTTCAAGATGG